CTTTATGTGGATGATTTAGGTAGATAAAATTAAGTGCAGCACTGTGATAAATAAGATATAGCACGTATAAAATGTTTGACACGAGCACAACCTACACCTGGAAGCGGTCTTCTCATCTTGTTTAGTTTCGTCTGACTGGCAATGGTCATTTCCAAAATGAAAATGCTTGTGTCTATATATTTAGCTTTACAGAAGAGCCTTGCTAACTTTGGGCTGCTTTACGGATTGGAGCCTCATGACGAGAATATGATTTGTAGTTCATAAGATGTCGTTTAAGTCGTACATAGTAACACATCACACTTACCACAAGTGGTGATTTCCCATAGAACGATACCAAAAGACCACCTGCAAATAAGCATCAAGGCCTTAGCCCAAAACAGAATTTCTCCTTACAATATCAATACAATATCAAGCAGGCAAATGATGTGATTTAAAAAAAGACGGTTTAATTTTTAAAAAAATTACCAATAAAGAGATTATTAGTTGAGTCCATACCAAATTCTCCGAATAGAAGCTAAAGAATTGTGTGGCAGACAGTAAGGAGAATTAACAATGAGATCTTGGGAGTGAAAGGGTTAATAACTTCAGTGAGTAAAGAATTCGAACGATTAGCGCTGAATTGATTAAAGATCGAGTCTCGTTGTATTCTTTTAGTGTTTAATGGATATTTACATCACTCAAAACTTCGTTGAGTCTTTCCTCTTATGTGGACCTTGCCTGTGGTATTTATTTCAATCAGGTGATATGTGCATATGATGCTCGATTTGAAGGAAGGAATTTCTTAAGTCATGCTAAGTTCTCATGGTGTGTCCATAAATGCAAATAGGTATAGATACACCATGCATGTACATGTACATGAAGACAAACAAAAAACGTAAAAAAAAGCCCAGATGTAACCATGATAATTTTCTAAGGGATATAATCGAGCGCACGGCAGAAGTTTTTTTTTCGGAAATCCTTTCAAATAGGCAATACTTTCACTCGAAGTCAAAGGACAGAAAACTGACAAAGACAAAAGGAAACTTACACATCACTCATGGATGTAAAATGCAGATCTCGTAGAGATTCTATCGACGACCATCTCCACGGAACCTTGCCCTGTTGAAAAGATAGATTCATGTGAGCAAGTTACTGTGTGTAGTGCAGGCAATGCCCTTTGAAACTGTGAAGCGGATAACTTATGAAACGGAAGGATGCATTCATTATAGTAAGCGAGTTCTTTTTCGACGTTAAGATATATAATGGTTTGTAATTATTACTGATTTCCAGTAAAAAACCAGAGTGATAGTTACCGTGCCCATAATTGTTATTGTTATTAACATTATCATAGGTTCAGACACTATCCCATACTTAATAATCGTAATAAGACCGAATAGAGTCCAATTCGGTCTGTGATTATACGAGTGATTAACAAATCAGACGGCCACGAAGCGGGAGTCCGATTTGTTTGTCACGAAACTCCCCAGTTTTTTTGGGTAAAATGGTTGTTTCTATAGTTAATGTAATCAATTCTGTGTTCGGTGGATTTGGCTGGGTAGGATTGGCTGCTTAAACTGTCCGATTACAGGTGTCCAATTACAGCCAACTGTCTGATTACAAATCTACGGAAAATTTGTGAAATATAAAGCGCCTGGTGCATCAATCGCATTTGAAGAAATTGTAATTGTTATGATTAGTTAAGTAGACGTGTCACATAATACACAGCTCGTGGAGAGTTTCAATGTAAATTATGTCGTTAGAAGAAATTAATTTCTTCTGCTCAATTGTACCGAGGAAGAGTATCAATTTAAATGCATTTCAGTTTCTTTCATTTTTCTGTTTAGTTGTTGATTTTGATTGCAAAGCGTACTTACGCTGGAGGTTATGGTGTATATACCAGCAGCGGATATGTCCCTGGCTAATCCAAAGTCTCCAACTTTAGCCACCAAGTTGGCATCAACTAAAATATTCCTCGCTGCTAAGTCGCGATGGACAAACTATGAGAGAAGACAATGTATAATTTTTTTGCTTAGAGACGCTCAAGGATGAAGTGACCTATACGAAAGTGCGAAAGATCCTCAAGGTGTCCTGAAGACAATTTGCAAACTGGAATTGCCTGCGTTATAAATATTTGCTTAACAGAGCCTCACGAATGATTGGGTGGCCTAAACCAAAATGCCAGAGATCGCCAATATGTCTTTAAGCCACTTCAAAACCTCGAACTGCCCGCGTTATATTTAGTGCAGCAAGAGATTATCAACTGTCTCTAATCTCTTGAGAACAGTCATCTCTAATGGAAGGTTGGAAAATTTACCTCTACACCTCTACACGCTGCCAGCCGTCTTACCTTTCTCTCCTCTAAGTGCTGCATTCCCATGGCGATCTGAAATGCAATTGTGACCAGTTGCCGGTCATTCAGCTTACAGCAGACATTATGATAATTGCTCCTTTCCCCTGGCGCCCTTAAAAGATTTTCCAGACTGCCACCATGAATCAATTCAGTGACCACAAAAACGTTCCCTTGAGAGAGTAGAGCAAACACATTAGAGTTGACAAGAGAAAGAAATTAGACATTATTGGCACCTTGGGTTGATCAAAAGATGATTCGTTGGTAATTTAGGTTTAGTTGGTGCCTAAAAAAACAGGAAAAAATTTCATATGAACTTCCCTGAAACTAGCCCAATTAGAAAAAATTTTTTTTCCGATCAAGAAGCACAGATTTTAACAGTTAAGTGTACTCATCTGTCTTTAATCATAAGGTCAGTACATGCACTGTTCTAACTGATCTTACACACGGCTGGAACGTTACCATGTTACTGTCAATCACCAAGTAAACACGCATATTTCTAAGACGGGATTGCATCGTCGAAAACTGACTTACCTTCCTCTATCCTTGTGCCAATCAAAGTGACAATATTAGGATGTTTCCCAGCTTGCTTTAAGGTCCTTATCTCATTAAGCAGGGTTTCTTTGGCAATGGCACTAGGGTCTACAATGACGTAGAGAAAAAAAAACAAGGGCATTTCTTAAATTGCTTCATTTTACGTAGTTCGCTCATCGTATCTGGCTATGGTAATAAAATTACGTATGGAAAAAACTGGCTTGGTTAAGGCTACAGAAAGCGTTCAGAGGAGGCAATAGCAGACTTTATGGGTGTTTTCCACCAAAAGGAAAATGATGAAAAAAATCAAGATGGTGCATGGCTTCGAAAAAGAAAAAATCAGTTTAGAGGTATACCACTGTACTCAGGAATTAACAAATAGACATTTCGATTTCGTGTACCTACCTTTTAGCTTTTTCACAGCTACATCTGTTATGTTTCCGTCTTTCCCACCATAGCGACCTTTGTAGACGATTCCAAACTCGCCTTCTCCGAGTATTTCATCAAACACTTCAAGATTTTCCAAGTTTTCAGATTCTTCCTCGGTCCCTTGAGATATCTCTCCACAATCCCGCTGTTCGTCGACACCTAAGTGTTTATCAGCTGTGAAAATGTGACCACCAGCAATCCCCTCACCCGACTCTAATCTCTCTTGACCTCTTTCTTTTATTCCTTGCACCAAATCATCCTGCTCGCTTCCGTCTGGAGGCAGTCTCTCCCCTACTCTATCCCCTACTAACGGGAGCCTTTCCTCGGGGGTTTCGATGGTTTGGCTATTGGGCGAGCGATAGTTTTCAAGGTCCTGTATCCCATTTTTCAACTGTTGGCCTTTTTCCAGATACACCTTTATTGCACGTTTTCGTCTCTGTCATATGATTTAAGAGAATAGGCAATTGTGATATCTATCCAAGATTTATCATCATCATCACTTGTTTGAGTCCCCTTCATAATCATGAATTTAAACTGGACGAACTGAAGTCTCTCGCACTCTGATTTATCAGTCGTATGCGATTTACATAGCGTTTTTTTGATAAAAAAGCAAACAAATTTAGCTGAAATAGACGCACCATCTTTCACGACGATAATCCTCAAATGTGATAATTCTAAGGTATGTAAGTAAGGAATATAGCTTTTTTTCAGATTGAACTGCTTCATAAACCCCCTTAATATGGGTCACGCAAGCCCTTGCTTGTTTCTGCATGAGGCATTTACAGACCCAAAGTGGAGGAAAGGACAATTTGGAGTAGACCAAGTAAGGACAGAAATGGGCATTTTCCAAAGCCTTGACTCATTTTAAAGGCCGAATTTTGCCAAATAAAGCCAAACTGACGGAAATCGCCATGAAAGGGAAAACAGCTCATAATAATAATACCAACAATAATAATGATAATAATCAGTTGAATTTGGGAAGTTTTTCTCGACTCTGCATCTTAACCCCTGAGAAAACTGCGTGGTTCTTGGCTGGTCAATCCCAGTATTCGTCTAGACGCCAGCACAAGCAAAGTCGCATGACGGACAGAGGAGATCATTACTCTGTGTGGGGATGTCACGTAACGCATTATTTACCTCCTTATCACGATTTCTACGCCGATTCCACACAAACCCAGTGACTACACAAATAACTACAGCTGCCAAAGTGCATGATACAGCGACTATAGTTGTCTGAGATGCTGAATTTTCTGGCTCTCTTTTCACGTGGGTGAGAGTAGGAGTTGCTGTGGATAAATTATAAAAAATACGTTGTTCTTAAGAACAGCACTTGTAGTTAAGAAGGACCCCTCTCACCCTATTTTTTTCCCTTCCATTTAAAAAACACCTAACCTTTGTTCAAGACAGCCACTCCTGATTGGCTTCTTCCAATGCTATTATTTGCAATGCATTGATATTTTCCATAGTCTTCCGTCTGTACTCTCATTATAAAAAGCTGGCTGCGATTAGTTGGCCCGTCTGGAATGACACGTGCTCTGAGATTAGACTGTAAAGGGTATGAAGAATTGTCCTTTATCCAGCGGATTGTTGGCCTTGGGAGACCCCTAACAGTGCAGCTTAAGGTAGCATTGGAACCGATCAGGACACTTTGGTTCTTTGGACCCTCAACGATCTCAGGTTTCTGGTCATCTAGAAAATTGAAACAAAATTAAGTAATATGAATGAATGGGACGTTATGAATTGTCTCATTTGTGATCTTTCTTTGGGATGTCGGGGCCCAAGGCTTTTTTGCCGCTCGAATGACCCGGTTTGAAGAGAATTGAACTTAAAGGGGAGTCTTGATGATAAGAAGACTGAGGAGGTACAGTGACCGGGTGAAACTCAAATGACAACTTAAAAAATTTGTATAAACATTTCACAGAAAACTGCTCATTTTCTAGCTCTTGATACTCTGGTGACACTCCGAGAGTTTTTACAATCTACGGAAATGTACACCAAGAGGCAATCATCCAAAAGCCGAGCTTTTCTCGCTTACTTGGTGTTGGGGAAATTTCAACTGGGAGACTGAGTTGACATGCAACGGGAAGACTTCGTGGGTTTTCAACTTTGAAGTGATAGGGAGGACAAACATACACTAATGCATATTCATGTCTAACCTGAATCTTTCAAGGTTAAGAAAGCTGGCAGCGACAAATTTTTACCAGCACTGTTTTTGGCCTCACATTGATATTTGCCAAAATCTTCTTTCTTCGCTCCTGTAATAAACAGCTGGCTTTGCATGGTTTTGTGGTTTTTTGATGAACTTGAATTGTTATAACTTGAACTGAATGTCACCCTTGAGTTGGTTTGTAAGGCAGATGAATCACTGTTTTTGATCCATGAGATGCTTGGCTTAAGACGACCTGTGGCGGTGCAGTTGAAAGTTACATTGGCCCCTATATCAATGCTTTGGTTCCGAGGAACTTCTACTAACTCTGGTGCAAGACCTGTAGGGAAAAAATACATTGCAATAAATATCCCCTTTTATTACTGAGATAATCTGGTATGAAGTTAATTTCATAAGCAAATGACGGCAGAACGAGAGGATATTTTCACTATCATACTTTTATGCCACACAAGAAGATGAACTGCTTATACAGGTACCCAGAAGGAACTATTTCAGGCCAACTCTCCCTTGCCGGGGTATGAACCTCTTCCCTTTTTCATTTTAATTATCATCATTCCTCTTTTTTTTCACAAAATAATTCTTTTCTCATCTTCCAAGGAATATGTAGGTTTTTTTCTGCTACAGCATCACCGGCACCGTATTTAGCGACCACCCTGTATTAAGCAGTCGGTTGCATTAGTGTTTGTCGGTTGCCAAAGTCTCCAGTTTGTCTCCCTCTAATCACCATAATTTTACCGGTAATACGCGGTTACCTCTACTTAGCGGTCGTAGTCAACCTTTACAAAGTCCCAACGGCCTCTTTGTATTGCCCTCCACCTGTTTTTAATAGCCACTTATAGCCCAGTTAATAGTATCTTTGATCGAGATTCTGTACGTTAAGTGGTCAATTTTAACAGTGGCGTTAGTGGCGTTGTGTTTGTTTCAATTTTGTTTTTGTTTTTTTGGTTTTTTATCATTTTTTTATCATTTTTTTTTAATAATAAAACTCCTTATCCGTGGAGCCTGTATTAAAAGGTCAACCTAAATTAAGCGGTCACCACCATTCCCGGTGAATTGCCGCTTAATACAGGTTCCACTGTACCAAGTAATATGATATGCATTAGGACAGGTCAATCGAAGTGCTCCTGATTCAAATTTAATCGTTATCAGCGTGAAGAATTTCGTTCTTTGAACAGTGCATTTCGGGCCTTGTTAGCCAATGACCACAGCGGAATTTTCCTTTTGCAATGAATTATGAATTGGACTTGCCTGTCCATACATTCCAGGGGTTTCTTAGAAGCTGATTATTCGAGGCCCCTTATTCCTGAATTAAACATCATCGGCATCTACCTTCGCATTAAGAAACAAATGATGTTTACTTTCATATATTTAAAACTGGATCATTGGATAATGCAATTCAAGAGTTTTCATTGGATTAGCCATTATGGGCTATGGGTCATTTTACCATGTGCAAGCATGAAGACGAATCAAACCGGAAGTGTTTTGGTACATTGTAACGTTCCGTTTGTTCATGCAAAATAAAGTTGGGAAGATTTTTGTATATATGTTTTGAGGCGTCTTCTATAAAACAATTATTCTATTCGCGTTTGTTGGATACGAGATGATTATAGCCAATTCGGCCCTATAAGCCTCGTTGGCCATCTATCATCGCATATCCAACAAGCACAAGTGGAATAATTGTTTACTAAGGGTATGATAAGCCTGGTTTACTTACCTTGAATCACTATTTCAAATGATTTCCTTGTGCAGTGTTTTGTGTAACCGTTGCCGGCTTGGCAGTTGTAGCGGCCAAATTTGTCAACTGTCAGATTTTTAAGCACTAATGGGCAGCTTAAACGTTGTTTTCCTTTTCCTGAAGGCTGCTCGCACTTAGCTACAACTTTGTTATTCTGTGGATCGTACCACTCGATATAATCGACATATCTATCCAGATACGTTGCATCTTCTATTCTGGGCTCCGCTGTACAATTCAGGGTAATGGAGGCACCAATGGGTAATGTGCTATTTTCTGGACTTGAAGAGATGTCCACAACAGGTCTGACTGGGTTGGAGAGATTGAATAATGATAAAAGAAAATGAATAATGCACAATCTCTTTGTATATGAGAAAGATTATCAATAAATCTATCTTACAAATTTAGCAAGTTTAGTTGACAAACTCTTGACCGATCAAGAGTTTTAAGGCAGCTTTTTAATGTTAATTTTGAATTTTGAATGCAGCTTTTGAATGTTAATTTTTGCTTTTTTATGTTCCACCCGAAGTAGGCCCAAGGTCGAGACGTCGTCTATTTAAACGCTGGATCAGTCAAGAGTTTATCTTCGTCCTTTCTTATCTACACATGCTAAACATTTTGATGAAGATACCTTTGGATCCTCTGACTGAGAGCTGTTTTTTTGGTAGCCATTTTACACTTTCTGCACATACACGCATTCATTTAATGCGCATACAAGAAAAAAATATAGGCATATACATGCTCTTTGACCAGGACGTTTAAAAAGAAGTAAACACTACTTACTCTTAATTTTGGAATCGCATGTTTCACCTCTGACCAATGGGAGATTCCATAAAGGGCTGGTAAGAATTAATAGTGCCAAACACGTTGACGCTTCTCGAAGACAAAAGTTACCCATCATCATGACACGTTGACAAATTTGTTGTTTGGATGTTTGAAGTGGCCTGCAAATGGGATTGTTTATTCAAAATTGAATAAGTTGTTTTCTAGAAGAACGTACGATACTGAGGGCCATAAGTCGAACTTGGTTGTCATTAACTAATTGTATCTTCATTTACCTACTCTACGAATTTGGCGATTTTACACAAAACTTCTGCTAAAATGTATAGGATTTCATTGTTTTCTTTCACTTATCCGCATACTCTCGTTTTAACCCGAATCCATGATTCATAAAAAATTATATTTTTCACCGAATACATGTAGTTTTAATTTTGTCTCTTAACTACTCAGTAACTAAATGGCATCATTTGTTTTGCTACTTTTTCGAAATTGCTAATAGAGACAAACAAAATCTAAAATGAACAGCACTAAAATTGCTCGTAAATTTACCAAAAAAAAAAATAGACCTTACTTTTTCGTTGGCAAGGAAATGCAATCTACTTCAAAAAGAAAATGAATTTTCCGTGTTATAAAGAACTCCTGCGATGAGAAAGCGAAGTTACTATACATCAGTGCTTATCATTAAAAAATGGATTGTTCAGCTTGACAAGAACTTTGTATCAATGTATCGCCGATACATTGATACAAAAAAACTGTGAAACTACTTTTGGGGTTGTGAACTTAAATAAGTAAGGCAGCCTACCAAAGGAAACCATGTACTCTTATAATGAACGAAAATAACGAACAATCACACCAGGATTAATTTGGAAAAAATTCAAAATTTCTTGTAGTTTAACATTTACAGATCTAAAACAGTACTTTCTCAAGAATCCTTCGTAACATTTTATAATTTTACAGCGACATCCTTCTTCGTTTCTTTTCGATTCGAATAATACCATTACTATCGTCATCACAATAATTTATATTTTTGTCATTATCATTATCAGTGTTGTTCTTCTTATTGATCATTTTTCTTTTAATTCTTATTCACTGTTTGCTTTGGCATCATATTAACCGCTTTTGTTTAATGACAAAGTGTATAGCTCACATGTAGCATATGTTTAAGATAGGTGAGTTCGGTCATATTTTATGTTATTTTCTCCGCCCAAGAAGGACTATATCTGAAGGAAGAGACATCTAGGTTAGATTAATCGGCTCATGGAAAATGTAACTTCACTGGCCAAAATACACCTGTTGACAGGGAGATATCCGGCCGCGAAACTGGTCCTGAAAGCGGACAAGTGCCTAAGAACTCTTGTTTTTAGAAGATTGAGTTGACACTGAATAGATGCGATTGTCATCGAGATGCGACCAACAGACAATGTGCATTTGTAAACTAACTTTAGAGAACGAAAATGATTCACTTGACGATGGCGCAGTATACAATTGAACATTCGTGGTAGTAACATCACCAAATGCAAATTGGATAAAGCTTAGACAATGTCTTCGTTTTAGCTCGATTAAGTATAATCGCTTCGTTTCTAAGCAGCATTTTAATACAAGTTGCAGCTCTCTCCGAGTTTGCTTATCACTGTGATTATTATTCATTGCCGGACTTGCCAACCGAGCGTTTTCCTGAACGGGTGTTTCAACTTTCTTTGTATGAAATTTTGTTTCTTTTATGGCTTTTATCTATACATCCAAAGCTTAAGAACGAAATCGCCAAATGTGAGGTCCAAACAGGCGAACGGCAGAATCAAAATTATGCAAGCAGCTTTAATATTTCATATTAACGTTGGATTGATTATATCACGATACGAGGCAAAAGTCACGATTGACGAAATTTATGCATCGCGGAGGGAGTTTGTGGAAGATTAACCGCATGTTTATTTATTAACGGACGAATAAGTATTTAACTTGTTTAGTTCAATGAGCTCTACGTGCACTAAAGAAATATAAAAAAGGATTGCAATAATAATATACGATTTGCCTCGCTGAAAAATGTCAGAGGAAATGTTTTTAATGAAGTGTCAAACGTGAGAATATCGGCCAGCACTGAGACCTAAAGATTCACTGTCCATTCATTAGGATCTTGTTGAAGCAGATGCTTACGGAACTTTTAGACCGTGGACGGAAGTTGTATTCCGTAGACGGAAGTTGCATTGTGTACCGTGAACGGAAGCATGCTACTCCTCCCCACTTAGTGAAAGTCAAAAGCACGTAGCGGGTTCATTCAACACACGCCGTGACCACGAGGAAGAGCATCAGAGGCATGCAGCCACACTGGTATGCCGCGCATTTGCGTTCGTCTTCAGTTGGTATAAAGTAATCATTGCTCTATGATTGTGCTTTTCTACGGGAGCTCTTCAACATACAGTTCACACTTGTGATACAAAATGAGCATGAATGAGCTAAAAATGAGATAAGCTAGTGGCCTTTTTATAATCAATCATGGCGGCCAAGATAGTCTCACTAAAATGTTTTTTTCGAGCTCTAATATTTCGGTCTAGGCTTGAGGCTCGCTCGAAAAAAGAACAGCAACACCAATCCGGTCGGTACCAAATGCAGACTGCAGATCGGGTACAAAATGCAGACTAGGTACAAAATGCAGACTGTGGGCTGGGTACAAATTGCAGACTGAGAATTTATACTAATTTTTGTGTGATACGTGATAATATGTCATCTTACAACTCACCGAGGGTCACGCAATTGCTTTTCCGCGATCATCTTTCACAATTATTTGCACTATTGTGGAATATACCTTGCCCGTTTCTTAATCAAAATCATTCTTAATATCATTTCAAGCTTTCACTTAGTCTTCTCACTTTGCGCGCGAGTTGGTTGGTGTGATGTCTGTACAGATTTTACCGACTTAATGAAAGTAGGTATAGATGTAAATGAGATGTCACTATTGAATATTTAACATGTGTAATATCCAAGAAACAATTGACAGCTTTGCATGTGGTCCGTACGTTTCATCTTTTTAACCGATATGTGTTCATTTTGTTGACAAAAATGCGGACCGAGACCAAAACTGTCCCTTCGACTTGATATATTTTCAACGTTTAGGGGTGTACACACATTGATTTTCACATATGTGCCTTACATTGTTTTTGGCTTACATGAGGAACTGGCGAGTTTTTATAGGGAAAGGGTCATCCGCACTGGCGACAAAACTGTTTATTTAGACAAATTTTCCATCATCACCAACACTTTACTAATGTGGATGGTTTGTCGCGGCTTGACAACTTTTTGCCGAAGCGGACAAATTTTCAAACGCTCCGCCGACAAAATTTGTCCCGGGTAAAAGCTTAGCAAAATCTACTAAATTAACAAAACCGTGATGAACTTGTCTATCATATGTCGTAAACGCTACCATTAGAGTGGTAATTGAACTGGGTTCAGTTTACCAAAAGATTGCAATAGTTGTCCTTCGCTGCGAAACTCGCAGATTTTACAACTTTAACTTAAGATGAATCCCGGTAATTGGAGTTTTGATCCATTGGCAAATTATAGCGGCCAGTCGTATGAGCAGATAAGACGCTCGAATGTGCCACCCTATGAATAACAACAAGGAAACAATTTTCATTCAGCCGGGGCAACCTACAAAAGTGGAGTAATCTTCCAGTCGCCGCTTCATCAGACTAATAATGAAGTTGTAGATGTGGCTGCCCAAGATCCAGTTGTTAGCGGCTTACATAAGGAACCGGCGAATTTTTATGGGGGAAAAAAGCGAAGCGTTGCTTTCGTGACTGGCCATTTGTTTACTTTTCTAATAGTTTTATCTCTCATCTGTTTGGTGAGAACGCAAATATTGATATGTGAACATCAGACTATATGAAGGCTCGAAATTCTATTTAGAACGATTGTGGCCGCTTTGTTAGAAACCAAATGGAATAGCCGCTTTGTTTAACACAAAACATTTCAAGGAATATTTCACAATAGTGCAAATGATCGTGAAAGATGAGGGTAACTGATATTTTGCTGTCTTGAAAGTTCACATAAACCGAATCCAATTGTACCTATATTCAATGAGTCCAAGAAGTCAATACAAACTTAAGCCATAACATGAATGAGCTGGTTCCAAGAGCCCTTTGATCCATTCTATTTTTCCTTTTTCGATATGTGAATGATGGTGACTAAACATGACATTACGAAATCCGTGGCTGAACATGAGAGACTCCCTATAGTCTGTACTAAGATAAGATATGTCATAACGTAAGGCCCAGTGTGTCCATTTTTTCCTACCTGCGACAACTGTTTGTGAAAAATATCCTATTCTTTACATGTAACGTTAATTATTAGTCACTAGACTAAAAAAGATCATCTCAATGCAAGCGATCAAATGTGCCCTAATGCAGAACAGGTGCATCATGCTTCAACTCAAATTCACACACGTTAATTATCAGTCGCTAGACTAAAAATTTACCCCAGTGCAAGCGGTCGAATGTGCCCTAATGGTTACCTGGCGGAGGACAGAACAGGTACATCATATTTCAGCTCAAATTCACATAGCTGGTAGACTTCCAATGACGTAACAGATAATGAGATCGATCTTCCTGTCCGACCAATGAAGGAAATTTGAATAAACGCGTTTTGCATCAACTCAATATTATATACAAATATTTTCCATGAGCGCTTAATAAAAGTAAAAAATACGAAGATTGCCTCAAATTAAAGTTAGCTCTGTATAAAACTCTGATCATTGTAGATTAAGGAAACAATTATGAATAAACGTTACGTCAAGTTGTCTCAAAACAATTGGGCGATTACACATCACGTATAAATCATGCCTGATAAATATATCTTATAAGACGTTTTGGTGTGTGGTATCGCTGAGTATTTTTACTCGTTGTGCCGTAATTTGAATCGCCCTTCGGGCTCGTCAAAATATCACAGGGTATTTGTACTCTATTCACGCGTTATTTGTACTCTACTTTGTGCTGTGTAATAATAATAAAACGTATTTTACCAAACAATTTTGTTGTGCAACGATAAATTGTTCTGAAAATCGTTTTTGAAAATAGCTTTTTGGCATGTAGGTCTTCGTCATTGCTATTTACAATATCACGATCGAAATAAATATTTGATTCATTTCCTTTTTATTATTAAGACATCATTTTATTTGGCAGAAAAATGCAAAAGAAATCATCATTCGAAAGAGAAATTGTGAGAAAAAATGCATAAACTTACCTTATGGTTTCGCCGTGTGTCTTGTTAATATACCACTTAAAAGATGATAGCGGAATTAATCATAAGCTGTCGTACAACACGAGATCAGATAGGAAGTTATGTGCACTTTACTTGGTCACAAAATAAACCGTCACTCGAAACGACCTTTTTTGTAATAAAATACGACTCAGCAGATGTTGTATGACGAAATTGAAAGTTGAAGGGAAAAATTCCTGATGAGCCAAAAGTTCACGATGGTCGGTTGCCATGGGTTTTCCTCCCGCAACTCTGATGCGCGCTGGCGCAGAAATCGTCAGCGGCAGTTGGCACGAAAAGTAAAGGCCTATTCAAAAATGGCGGCAAATAATAACAGCGCGAGCACATCAAACAAACTCTGTTTAAGGCACTTCGGCATGGAGGATGAAACAGAGAGAGGAGACCGGTTTTGGAATACCAACTCCGTAGAGATGAAGTTCTCTAGGGAGAAAGAATGGTTGAGGAGGGTTCGTTTCGCAGAAAATAAACCTAATTACGGGATGAGAGACCTTGATCCCGTGTTGGAAGAAGTCACAGGCAACAAGCTGGAGCTTGTAGGTCCCCTGGTGGATGGCTTCCTTAAGGAGATCGGGCTCTCTACTAATGCGAAGCTCGCTCGCTCTAGAATGACCGGTCTTATGGCGCCCATCACTCTCTCTCTATGCCATTTCAAATCTTTAGACATATCTGGGTTTTAGTACAAGGCTACGGGGGAAGCGCGGACACAACCAAGAATGGTGAGAGAATAACGCTAACTTTCCAAAGGCTCGACACTGCTGAAAAAATTTGGTCTCCCGCGAGATTTAAAGGAGAGAATTTTCTCAAGAAGCGGCACTTCGAGAAAATCCCCGAGGATGGTCGCGTGCTTCAAAGTTACAACGGCAAGTCAATTGTTGTTGTAACACAAACTACGCCGCTGCAAATGGTTTATTCAACAAAACAACAAAGGGTAGTAACCACATTTTCCGTGCAGCGCTATGATCCAGAAGGATTTTCAAAGGACTCAAATTTGCAAAAGCCATTGAATTTGAAAACTATCTGGCTTGACAGTTAATTAACAGTAGGACTTGCTAATGTTTTGTTAGACCTTGTCACGAAACTTTATACATCAAAAGAATGACAACCTTGAATGTAATCTGAAACAAAATTCTAAAGGAAACATGTTATTAATACAAGCAGATATTTTAAAATTTAATCTTCGTATCTTGTAGACTGTAATACATTGGAGTGAATAAATAGAATTATGGTTTTACCTAAACACAATAGCTGAAAGCTTTTTTATTATTTGACTAACAATGATGTCTGACTCATTTATGAAATTATCCATCAGTATACAGAATTACTCCTTTTAGATATAAATTTCATTTATCTGTGTATACTTCATCTTACTCTTAAAACTATCAAGCTGCAAATTCATGTACCTTTTATTTAAGACAAATCCAAGCAAAATGCTGGGTCACTAGTTATTGACCCTTTGACCCCTTACAATGTCTAGCATCTAATTTCTTCTTACAATATTAACCCCAAATTAAACATAAGGTCACAAGAATGAGGGAAATAATTATTAACTAATGAAGCTCTTGATTATTTAGCAAATTCTCCTTGTCAACACCTTGTAAAATATATTGAGAACAGTATAGAGAATATTCATGCTGTTGTTGGCATGTAAAGGCTTAAGTGGCCAAACCTTTAAGTACAAAATTCCATAAATTCATTAGAGCAGAAACCCTGCCTCTAAAATGCAAGTTAGTAAAAAAATAATGGGTTAATAAAGTTTTAAATGTAATATATCAGTGCATACCAAGTAATATCAGTGACAACAGTACTTTTGCATTTGGACAGGTTTAACCTCTCTGACAAACATAGCTAATTTAAAAAATTTTGCACCAATTTAAATATATTTTTCTTATGAAGTAGGTATATTACTCACATTACTGGTTCACAGAATTTGTTGAGAGCCTAGTTATCATTCTCATAACAAGTATGCCTTATTGTGCACCAACTTGGCCAAGAAAAATAACTTTCAATTCAAATATTTTGGGAGATTTAAACTGTTGATTAAAAAATAATTCAACTACCCCTCCCCAGCCAATGCACCTTCAAGGTGCTTAATTAGAATTTCCTTAGTACCTGCAGTGCTTAATCCTCTACTTCGTAAAGCTTCCTTTAAACTAGGTACTGTCATCAAAGTTGGCTTGATAGCTACCTTTCTTACCTCAGTGGCATTGCAGAACTTTAAATGAGATGATAATGATAGGTTATCAGCAAAGCGAGTATTGCACTGTTTACAGACAACATGTTTTGGTGTACACAACACTGATTCTGTCAGACCTCTGCTGCTTGCACAAGTCACAAAGTTAATACCAGACAAACAAACTTGACAACTGAGCAAATCGTTTTCTTTATTTCTACCACAATTACAAACATTTGATTGGTAACAGTGTGGTGGAGAACATGATTGGTAGTGTGAGGTATAAGAAGAGGGCATTGGTTGATGTTCTGGGAGGTAAAATGAGCGAACATAATTACTTCGCATTACTTGCCACCATTTACCAGTGGCAGTACGGCAGTACTTACATTTGACCGGTTAGTTAAGGTCAAATCTTCCTTCACTCCAGAATGTTTGGCCTCTTTAGCCTGCAAAGAGACAATGCCATAGCCCACCCCATACCTTGTAAACAGCAAATTTGCATGATAGGGAATGGCATATCCAATTGTTCATGTTGTGACATTAACACTGGATGAAAAAAACAAAGACATCAGGTTAAAATACATACTACACATTTCTTTTAGTTCTGCAACCTGAGCAGAATTGGTCTCTATTCTATTAAAAAGCCCCCCAGCATTCCTCAGATACTCACCTATCTTGCTAAGAGCCAGTCGTTGGATTGTTTGTGCCTCTGTTTCATCTTCACTTTTTAAAGTGTCAACTAAACAGTAGTAATATCAAGCCAATGTAATAGCTTGATTGCCAATAAGCCTAACTGGTAACTTGTTATACCTGTTAGTTTCATCACTAAAATGTTCTTTTACTCTTGAAGCCAAGTATCCCAGTCCACACCCCCCCTCACCTGTTGCATGCCTTACATGAGGAAAACCTGTCTTCTGCAGGTATTGTTTTAGGTCCTCCTCTGATTTCTGCAACATTTCCTGCTTTCTAGCACGCTCCCCAACACTGTCTATATCAGAAACCCTCAAAAGAGTCTTTTGGGGTTGTCCCTCCTTAACATCTCCATCTCTATTCCCTATAGGTGCTGCCAGGGCAGAAACAAAGGGATCAAACTTTCCTCTTCTTACTGCCTCTAAATATAAGAGATCATTATAATGCTGCCAGGCATTGATCTCACAGTGCATGGGTACTTGTCTGCAAAATGCCCAATCCTTGTGAGACCTAACTGTCTGATGCCATTTTCAGCCATAAACTGCAACTTTCTGGAATTTTTATTTTTTTCTGAAAGGTTTGGGGGAAGAGAGGTGATCAAAGAGCCAATGCCTGTTTCTGGGCAAATGGTAGGCTGCTTTATCATCCAAATTGTGATGTCCGGTAGACTCGAGAAAAAGAAAAAAACAGGAAGAGGTGCGTAGGCGCTGAATATGAATTTGTGGGATAATCATAATCATACGTGTCGAGCACTGTAAATATATATATATATATAAAGTGTAAAATCTTGACTTTCGTAAAACAGTGCTCAATACATAGGAGTAGTGCCACAGGGCACGTGCGTAAACACCATTCACACGTCTGACCAAAGTTATATTTCTTCAGTTTTTAGAACTTAATTGAACAATCATGATTCCTTTAATGGCCTGCCTTCCGCTGTCGATCAGAGTGAACAATATTTTGCTTTGCCGACTGAGGAAAAGAAAACAGGGATATGACCTAGACGAGAAGAATCCGAAAATGATTGAAGCTACTTCAGTAAAACACCAAGAAAAGGACAAAATGGAGCCACGGGTGGAAAGAACTTTACTATGCAGACGATCGGCAGGCGTCACAGACGTGTGAGATGTTTAAGCTGTTGAACAAAAGGTGCAGTTAATGGAGCGAAAATGCCTCGATGTGGGCGATTCAGCCGTAGCTGGTGATGATATGATCAGATGTTGTCCAGTTAACTAAGAAGAGATGAGTTTCCGCCAATCAGTTCTTGGCAGCTGCCAGGCAGTAGAAAAGGCCAAAATAGAATCGGCTGTTGTGCTCATCTGTCCAGATTAGTTATTGGTTTCGTTGGTATTTCACATCTACGTTATGTTCTTGCCTGGCTGTCACTCGTTAGCTAACCAGGTTCGAAACAATGAAAATTGTGGGACAATTTTCTTCTTATCTTGGTGGGCGTTTTTTTATGTTTTTTATTTGTCTTAACATTGCTTGCGAAGGCCACCCTTCGTTAGCCCTCTTGTGAACTCTTGATTGTAATCTTCTGCAATAGTTTTATCGCCAATTACTAGAGGTAAGGTTCCAATAACAGCTTTTGACACAAAAACTTCTGGGAGTACTTCGGGAACCATTAACCTCTACCATTAAATCTTGGCCCGAAATGGTGGTGTCTAACTTCTTCTCAAGATATTTAGGATCCGGTAACTTTCAGCGATTATTATATATAAAACAGATATTCTCTAATTATGATGGTGTAAACAGTTTTTATTCAATAAAGAATATTTTGAAGAAAGGCATTTCAATGACATGTAAAAAGCCCTAAGCATTTACCAATCAGAAATAAAGTCGAGAGAAAATTTTAAATTGTTCTCTCAACACACTTTCACTTCATTTACGTGTTGATATGATTATCATTACTCTGGTAAAGATACTTTTTAGGATGTTATTTTGCTGAAGATTATTTCTGTCTTGTGTCGTGTGTCACACTCTGCCCCTTACACTCTCTGTGACTCTGATTTATGGTTAAATGTTTATTCGAAAGTCATTACCTTTCAAAAGGTCCATCTTTTATTTAACAAATAAAGAAGCCTCGACTGTGTTTTATTCTGTTGTAAAGCACGCTGGAAGCGGCTAGAGCACGGAAGAAGAGTAGCCTGCCTGCGAGCGAAGAAAGCACTCGTGCGGTAGCACTGATAAGGAGGACCTGTTTTAAGCTAGATCAGATGCATGCTTAGATTTTTTCTGAGTTAATGCAATCCACGTTAATCTAGTCTATTTACGCGATAGCAATGATTTTTCTTGGCCACTTCACCATTGTAAGTATTACAGGATGCACAGTTTTTTTCATTACAGGAAAAAATTGATTCTAAATTTTTGAGTCTATGCGCTTATTTGAGATCTCGTGGTTATCTTCCTACTATCAATTACATAAAATGAGGCGTTTGCTTCAGCGTCAGGGTATCATCAAGCTTCTCCATCGTTGAACTCTGTGATATTTGTATATGTCCTCTGAATAAATTAGTCGCAAAAAAATACGAATAAGGATAGAAATAACGGTTTTACCGTATAAGAATTAAATCTAAGAAAGAATGAACTTACGAATAAGCAGATGAAGGAACGAATGGAAGTTAAGGTTATATAGTTAGACGGAAAAGCAAGTGGATGGATGACTATGTGTACGAATGGATGGGTCGATAGATGCAGTCAACGATAAAAGGTTTATCAGAACGACTGACAGAGTGACAGACGGATCCATGGAAGGGTAAAGGGAAGCAAAGATGAATAAATGGAAGGAGGAAGAAGAGGGCAGATATAATTTTGAGAAAAGCGAAAGGAAGGGAAGAAATGGAAAGCTTCTAAATACAACCATTAATTACCTTCACTTCTCGCAAAAAATTCTTCAGCTGCTGGGCGATCTGCGAAAAGGCTGGTCTCATCAAAGGATTTTCTTTCCAACAAGAACTCATGAGCTCATATCTAAAAATTCAATACAGTATCAGCTGACATTATCTTGCAACTGATACTCTCAGCATCTGAATGGACCATACCAAGCGTGGAAAGGGGTGCAAAGAGGTGATTTTGAACTCACGAAAATGATCATTGGAAAGATCACATATTGGCCGAATGTGACATTTGATTTGATGCACAAATTGTTCTTAAATCATCACAACTGATTCACTTAGCTTAATGCATCGTTTTGATTTTCAACGAGAAATATTGAGTGTCAACGGATCTTGCGAGACTTTGCTCGAAAGGTAGAACGCTTTTCAATTATTTTTAGAAAAATCCGGGAGGTAAACGTCCATTTTTTAAAGCCTTCTTGATATTCAATGATTCAATTGAATTTTACTAGCATTATTTAGGACTTTATAGCTTACAGTTCTTCCGAACATCGATCGGGACGAGGCATCCGGTATCCCGAAGCAAGTCGAGTTACTAAGGCAATTGGCCCTGTGATGTCAGGGTACGGCAACTCACCTGTTTGGCGGAAATAAGATGATTTAACGATTTCAGTTTTTAAAGAATATCATTTAAGACAATAAGTATTTCAGCAATAACTTTGTTAATAAATAGAGACTTGCAAAGACTTTATATGGCTGATTTAGGTAGATAAATTAAGTGCAGCACTGTAATAAATAAGATATAGCACGTATAAAATGTTTGACACGAGCACAACCTATACCTGGAAGCGGTCTTCTCATCTTGTTTAGTTTCGTCTGACTGGCCAAAGTCATTTCCAAAATGAAAATGCTTGCGTCTATATGTTTAGCTTTACAGAACAGCCTTGCTAACTTTGGGCTGCTTTACGGATTGGAGCCTCATGACGAGAATATGATTTGTAGTTCATAAGATGTCGTTTAAGTCGCACATAGTAACACATCACACTTACCATAAGTGGTGATTTCCCATAGAACGATACCAAAAGACCACCTGCAAATAAGCATCAAGGTCTTAGCCCAAAACAGAATTTCTCCTTACAATATCAATACAATATCAAGCAGGCAAATGATGTGATTTAAAAAAAGACGGTTTAATTTTTAAAAAAATTACCAATAAAGAGATCATTAGTTGAGCCCATACCAAATTCTCCGAATAGAAGCTAAAGAATTGTGTGGCAGACAGTAAGGAGAATTAACAGTGAGATCTTGGGAGTGAAAGGGTTAATAACTTCAGTGAGTAAAGAATTCGAACGATTAGCGCTGAATTGATTAAAGATCGAGTCTCGTTGTATTCTTTTAGTGTTTAATGGATATTTACATCACTCAAAACTTCGTTGAGTCTTTCCTCTTATGTAGACCTTGCCTCTAGTATTAATTTCAATCAGGTAATATGTGCATATGATGCTCGATTTGAAGGAAGGAATTTCTTAAGTCACGCTTAGTTCCCATGGTGTGTCCATAAATGCAAATAGGTATAGATACACTATGCATGCATGTACATGTACATGAAGACAAACAAAAAACGTGAAAGAAAGCCCAGATGTAACCATGACATTGCTCCAAGGGATATAATCGAGCGCACGGCAGAAGTTTTTTTTTTTCGGAAATCCTTTCAACTAGGCAATACTTTCGACTCGAAGTCAAGAGACAGAAAACTGACAAAGACAAAATGAAACTTAGACATCACTCATGGATGTAAAATGCAGATCTCGTAGAGATTCTAACGACGACCATCTCCACGGAACCTTGCCCTGTTGAAAAGATAGATTCATGTGAGCAAGTTACTGTTTGTAGTGCAGGCAATGCCCTTTGGAACTGTGAAGCGGATGACTTATGAATCGGAAGGGTGCATTCATTATAGTAAGCGAGTTCTTTTTCGACGTTAAGATATATAATGGTTTGTAATTATTATTGATTTCCAGTAAAAAAACCAGAGTGATAGTTACCGTGCCCATTATTGTTATTGTTATTGTTATTAACATAACCATAGGTTCAGACACTATTCCATAACTAATAATGGTAATAAGACTGACTGCAGTCCAATTCGGTCTGTAATTATACGAGTGATTGACAAATCAGACGGTCACGAAGCGGGAGTCCGATTTGTTTGTCACGAAACTCCCCAGTTTTTTTGGGTAAAATGGTTGTTTCTATAGTTAATGTAATCAATTCTGTGTTCGGTGGATTTGGCTGGGTAGGATTGGCTGCTTAAACTGTCCGATTACAGGTGTCCAATTACAACCAACTGTCCGATTACAAATCTACGGAAAAATTTGTGAAATATAAAGCGCCTTGTGCATCAATCGCATTTGAAGAAATTATAATTGTTATGATTAATTAAGTAAACGTGTCACATAATACACAGCTAATTGAGAGTTTCAATGTAAATTATGTCGTTAGAATAAATTCATTTATTCTGCTCGATTGTACCGAGGAAGAGTATCAATTTAAATGCATTTCAGTTTCTTTCATTTTTCTGTTTAGTTGTTGATTTTGATTGCAAAGCGTACTTACGCTGGAGGTTATGGTGTATATACCAGCAGCGGATATGTCCCTGGCTAATCCAAAGTCTCCAACTTTAGCCACCAAGTTGGCATCAACTAAAATATTCCTCGCTGCTAAGTCGCGATGGACAAACTGTGAGAAAAGACAATGTATAATTTTTTCCTTAGAGACGCTCAATGATGGAGTGGCCCATACGAAAGCGCGAAAGATCCTCAAGGTGTCCTGAAGCCAATTTACAAGCTGGGATTGCCCACGTTATATATATTTTTCTTGACTGAGGCTCAAGAATGATTGGATGGCCTAAACCAAAATGCCAGAGATCGTCAATGTGTCTTTAAGCCACTTCGAAACCTCGAACGTTATATTTAGTACAGAAAGAGATTATCCACTGTCTCCAATCTCTTGAGAACAGTCACCTTTAATGGAAGGTTGGCAAATTTACCTTTACATTTCTACACACTGCCAGCCGGTCTTACCTTTCTCTCCTCTAAGTGCTGCATTCCCATGGCGATCTGAAATGCAACTGTGACCAGTTGCCGGTCATTCAGCTTACAGCAGATATTATGATAATTGTTCCTTTCCCCTGGCGACCTCAAAAGATTTTCCAGACTGCCTCCATGAATCAATTCAGTGACCACAAGAACGTTTCCTTGAGAGAGTAGAGAAAACACATTAGAGTTGACAAGAGAAAGAAATTGGAAATTATTGGTCGCGATCGGTAATTTAGGTTTAGTTGGTGCCCAAAAAATAGGAAAAAAATTTCACATGAACTTCCCTGAATTTAGCCCAGAAAAAAAATGTTTTCCGATCAAGAAGCACAGATTTTTAACATGACACGTATTAAGTGAACTTATCTGTCTTTAATCATAAGGTCAGTATATGCACTGTTCTAACTGGTCTTACACACGGCTGAAACGTTACCTTGTTACTGTCAATCACCAAGTAAACACGCATATTTCTAAGACGGCATTGCATCGCCGAAAACTGACTTACCTTCCTCTATCCTTGTGCCAATCAAAGTGACAATATTAGGATGTTTCCCAGCTTGCTTTAAGGTCCTTATCTCATTAAGCAGGGTTTCTTTGGCAATGGCACTAGGGTCTACAATGACGTAGAGAAAAAAAAAAAGGGAATTTCTTAAATTGCTTCATTTTACGTAGTTCGCTCATCGTATCTGGCTATGGTAACAAAATTACGTATGGAAAAAACTGGCTTGGTTAGGGCTGCAGAAAGTGTTCAGAGGAAAAATGGTGAAAAAATTAAGATGGCGCATAGCTTCGAAAAAGGAAAATCAGTTTAGAGGTATGCCACTGTATTTAGGAATTAACAAGTAGACATTTCGATTTCGTGTACCTACCTTTTAGCTTTTTCACAGCTACATCTGTTATGTTTCCGTCTTTTCCACCATAGCGACCTTTGTAGACGATTCCAAATTCGCCCTCTCCGAGTATTTCATCAAACACTTCAAGATTTTCCAAGTTTTCAGATTCTTCCTCGGTCTCTTTAGATATCTCTCCACAATCCCGCTGTTCGTCGACACCTAGGTGCTTATCAGGTGTGAAAATGTGACCACCAGCAATCCCCTCACCCGACTCTAATCTCTCTTGACCTCTTTCTTTTATTCCTTGCACCAAATCATCCTGCTCGCTTCCGTCTGGAGGCAGTCTCTCCCCAACTCCATCCCCCACTAACAGAAGCCTTTCCTCGGGAGTTTCGATGGTTTGGCTATTGGGCGACCGATTGTTTCCAAGGTCCTGTATCCCATTTTTCAACTGTTGACCTTTTTTCAGATACACCTTTGCGGCAAGTTTTCGTCCCTGTCATATAATTTAAGAGAATAGGCAATTGTGATATCTATCCAAGATTTATCATCACTATCATTTGTTTGAGACCCCTTCATAATCATGCATTTAAACTCGACGAACTAAAATCTCTCGCACTTTGATTTACTAGTCGTATGCGATTTAAATAGCGTCTGTTTTATAAGGAAGGAAACAAATTGAAATAGACGCACCATCTTTCACAACGATAATCCTCAAGTGTGATAATTCTGAGGTAAGTAAGGAATATAGCTTTTTTTCAGTTTGAACTGCTTCATAAATCCCGTGAATATGGGTCGCGCAAGCCCCTGCTTGTTTCTGCATGAGATATTTACTGACTCAAAGTGGGGGAAAGGACAATTTAGAGTAGACGAAGTAGGGACAGAAATGGACATTTTCCTAGGCCTTGACTCATTTTAAAGGCCGAATTTTGCCAAATAAGGCCAAACTGACGGAAATCACCACGAAAGGGAAAATAGCTCGTAATAATAATAATAACAATAATAATGATAATAATCGGTTAAATTGGGAAGTTTTTCTCGACTCTGCATCTTACCCCCTTAGGAAACTGCATGATTCTTGGCTGGTCAATCCCAGCATTCCTCTGGACGCCAGCACAAGCAAAGTCGCATAACGGACAGAGGAGATCATTACTCTGTGTGGGGATGTCACGAAACGTATTATTTACCTCCTTGTCACGATTTCTACGCCGATTCCACACAAACACAGTGACTACACAAATAACAGCAGCTGCCAAAGTGCATGATACAGCGACTATAGTTGTCTGAGATGCTGAATTTTCCGGCTCTCTTTTAACGGGGATGAGAGTAGGAGTCGCTGTGGACAAATTATAAAAAAACACGTTGTTCTTAAGAACAGCACTTGTAGTTAAGAAGGACCCCTCTTACCGTGTTTTAAAAAAAACTAACCTTTGTTCAAGACAGCCACTCCTGATTGGCTTCTTCCAATGCTATTATTTGCAATGCATTGATATTTTCCATAGTCTTCCATCTCTACTCTCGATATAAAAAGCTGGCTGCGATTGGTTGGCCCGTCTGGAATGACACGTGCTCTGAGATTAGACTGTAAAGGGTATGAAGAATTGTCCTTTATCCAGCGGATTTTTGGCCTTGGGAGACCCCTAGCAGTGCAGCTTAAGGTAGCATTGGAACCCATCAGGACACTTTGGTTCTTTGGACCTTCAACGATCTCAGGTTTCTGGTCATCTACCAAATTGAATCAAAAATAATCAATATGAATGAATGGGACATTATGAATTGTCTCATTTGTAATCTTTTTTGTGGATGTCGGGGCCCAAGGCTTTTTTGCCGCTCGAATGACCCGGTTTGAAGAGAATTGAACTTAAAGGGGAGTCTTGATGATAAGAAGACTGAGGAGGTACAGTGACCGGGTGAAACTCAAATGACAACTTAAAAAATTTGTATAAACATTTCACAGAAAACTGCTCATTTTCTAGCTCTTGATACTCTGGTAACACTCCGAGAGTTTTTATAATCTACGGAAATGTACACCAAGAAGCAATCATCCAAAAGCCGAGCTTATCTCGCTTACTTGGTGTTGGGGAAATTTCAACTGGGAGACTGAGTTGACATGCAACGGGAAGACTTCGTGGGTTTTCAACTTTGAAGTGATAGGGAGGACAAACATACACTAATGCATATTCATGTCTAACCTGAATCTTTCGAGGTTAAGAAAGCTGGCAGCGACAAATTTTTACCAGCACTGTTTTTGGCCTCACATTGATATTTGCCAAAATCTTCTTTCTTCGCTCCTGTAATAAACAGCTGGCCTTGCATGGTTTTGTGGTTTTTTGATGAACTTAAATTGTTATAACTTGAACTGAATGTCACCCTTGAGTTGGTTTGTAAGGCAGATGAATCACTGTTTTTGATCCATGAAATGCTTAGCTTAGGAAGACCTGTGGCGGTGCAGTTGAAAGTTACATTGGCCCCTATATCAATGCTTTGGTTGCGAGGAACTTCTAATAACTCTGGCGCAAGACCTGTAGGGAAAAATACATTGCAATAAATATCCCCTTTTGTTACTGAGATAATCTGGTATGAAGTTAATTTCATAAGCAAATGACGGCAGAACGAGAGGATATTTTCATTATCACACTTTTATGCCACACAAGAAGATGAACTGCTTATACAGGTACCCAGAAGGAACTATTTCAGGCCAACCCTCCCTTCCCAGAGTGTTATCATCATTCTTCTTTCTTTTTTTTTTTTTTTTTTTTTTTCACAAAATAATTCTTTTCTCATCTTCCAAAGAATATGTAGGTTTTTTTTATGCTACAGCATCGCCGGCACCGTATTTAGCGACCACCCCTGTATTAAGCAGTCGCTTGAATTAGTGTTTGTCGGTTGCCAAAGTCCTCAGTTTGTTTCCCCTTAATCACTATAATTTTTACCTTTATTAAGCGGTTACCTCTACTTAGCGGTCGTAATCAACAAAGTCCCAACGGCCTCTTTGTATTGCCCTCCACCTGTTTTAACAGCCACTTATAGCCCAACCACTCGAATAAAAATAAGTATGATCCTTCAAATAATTTTTTTCAATTTATGCTTCTCTGCAAAAAACGAAGTTAATAGTATCTTTGATCGAGATTCTGCACATAAAGTGGTCAATTATAACAGTGGCATTAGTGGCGTTGTGTTTGTTTCAATTTTGCTTTTGTTTTTTCGGTTTATTATCATTTTTAATAATACCTCTTATCCGTAGAGCCTGTATTAAGAGGTTAACAGCCACTTATAGCCCAACCACTCGAATAAAAATAAGTATGATCCTTCAAATAATTTTTTTAATTTATGCTTCTCTGCCAAAATCGAAGTTAATAGTATCTTTGATCGAGATTCTGCACATAAAGTGGTCAATTATAACAGTGGCATTAGTGGCGTTGTGTTTGTTTCAACTTTGCTTTTGTTTTTTCGGTTTATTATCATTTTTAATAATACCCCTTATCCGTAGAGCCTGTATTAAGAGGTCAACCTACATTAAGCGGTCACCACCGATCCCAGAGAATGACCGCTTAATACAGGTTCGACTGTACCGAGTAATATGATATGCATTTGGACAGGTCAATCGAATTGCTCCTGATTCAAATTTAATCGTTATCTGCGTGAAGAATTTCGTTCTTTGAACAGTGCATTTCGGGTCTTGTTAGCCAATTACCACAGCGGAATTTTCCTTTTGCAATGAATTATGAATTGGACTTGCCTGTCCATACATTCTAGGGGTTTCTTAGAAGCTGATTATTCGAGGCCCCTTAGTCCTGAATTAAACATCTTCGGTATCTACCTTTGCATTAAGAAACAAATGATGTCTACTTTCATATATTTAAAACTGGATCATTGGATAATGCAATTCAAGAGTTTTCATTAGATTAGCCATTATGGGCTGTGGGTCATTTTACCATGTGTGAGCATGAAGACGAATCAAACCGGAAGTGTTTTGGTACATTGTAACGTTCCGTTTGTTCATGCAAAATAAAGTTGGGAAGATTTTTGTGTATACGTTTTGAGGCATTTTCTATAAATCAATTATTCCATTCGCGCTTGTTGGATATGAGACGATTATAGTCAATTCTGCCCTATGAGCCTCGTTGGCAATCTATCATCGCATATCCAACAAGCACGAGTGGAATAATTGTTTATTAAGGGTATGATAAGCCTGGTTTTCTTACCTTGAATCACTACTTCAAATGATTTCCTTGTGCAGTGCTTTATGTAACCATTGCCGGCTTGGCAGTTGTAGCGACCAAATTTGTCAACTGTCAGATTTTTAAGCGCTAATGGGCAACTTAAACGTTTTTTTCTTCCTTTTGAAGGCTGCTTGCACTTAGCTACAACTTTGTTATCCTGTGGATCGTACCACTCGATATAATCGACATATCTATCCAGATACATTGCATCTTCTTTTCTGGGCTCCGCTGTACAATTCAGGGTAATGGAGGCACCAATGGGTAATGTGCTGTTTTCTGGACTTGAAGAGATGTCCACAACAGGTCTGACTAAGTTGGAGAGATTGAATAATAATAAAAGAAAATGAATAACGCACAATCTCTTTGTATATGAAAAAGATTGTCAATAAATCTATCTTACAAATTTAGCAAGTGTTAGTGACAAACTCTTGACCGATCAAGAGTTTTAAAGTAGCTTTTTAATGTTAATTTTTAATTTTTATGTTCCACCCGAAGAAGTCCCAAGGCCGAAACGTCGTCTATTGAAACGCTGGATCAGTCAAGAGTTTATCTTCATCCTCTCTTATCACATGTTAAACATTTTGATGAAGATACCTTTGGATCCTCTGACTGAGAGCTGTTTGTTTGGTAGCCATTTTTCACTTTCTGTACATACACGCATTCATTTAATGTGCATACAAAAAAAACATTGGCATATACATGCTCTTTGACCAGGACGTTTAAAAGAAGTTAACACTACTTACTCATCAAATTGGAATTGCATGTTTCACCTCTGACCAATGGAAGATTCCATAAAGCACTGGTAAGAGTTAATAGTGCCAAACACATTGACGGTTCTCGAAGACAAAAATTACTCATCATCATGACACGTTGACATATTTGTTGTTTGGATGTTTGAAGTGGCCTGCAAATGGGATTGTTTATTCACAATTATATAAGTTATTTTCTGGAAGAACGTAGGATACTGAGGGTCATAAGTCAAACTAGGTCGTCATTAACTAATTGTATCTTCATTTACTAACTCTACAAATTTGGCGATTTTACACAAAACTTTCGCTAAAAGGTATAGGATTTCATCGTTTTCTTTCACTTATCCGCATACTCTCGTTTTAACCCGAATACATGATTCATAAAAATATATTTTTCACCGAATACATGTAGTTTTAATTTTGTCTCTTAACTACTCAGAAACTAAATGACATCTTTTGTTTTGCTACTTTTTCAAAATTGCCAATAGTGACTATCAAAATCTAAAATGAACAGCACTGAAGTTGCTCGTAAATTTACTAAAACAAAATTAGACCTTACTTTTTCGTTGGCAAGGAAATGCAACCTTCTTCAAAACGAAAATGAATTTTCCGTGTTATAAAGAACTCCTGCGATGAGAAAGCGAAGTTACTATACATCAGTGCTTATCATTAAAAAATGGATTGTTCAGCTTGACAAGAACTTTGTATCAATGTATCGCCGATACATTGATACAAAGGGTGAAACTACTTTTGGGGTTGTGAACATGAATAAGTAAGGTAGCCTACCAAAGTAAACCATGTACTCTTATAATGAACGAAAATAACGAACAATCACACTAGGAAAATTTGAAAAAAATCAAAATTTCTTGTAGTTTAACATTTACAGATCCAAAACAGTACTTTCTCACGAATCCTTCGTAACATTTATAATTTTACAGCGACATCCTTCTTGGTTTCTTTTCGATTCAGATAATACCATTACTATTGTCATCACAATAATTTATATTTTTGTCATTTTTGTCATTTTCTCCGCCCAAGAAAGACTATATCTGAAGGAAGAGACATCTAGGTACGGTTATTCGGCTCATGGAAAATGTAACTTCACTAGCTAAAATGCACCTGTTAACGGAGAGATATCCAGCGGCGAAACTGGTCCTGAAAGCGGACAAGTGCCTAAGAACTCTTGTTTTTGGAAGATTGAGTTGAAACTGAATAGGTTCGATTGTCGTCGAGATGCAACAAACAGTCGATGTGCATTTGTAAACTAACTTTAGAGGACGAAAATGATTCACTTGACGACAGCGCAGTATACAATTGAACATTCGTGGTAGTAATATCACCAAATGCAAATTGGATAAAGTTTAGACATTGTCTTCGTTTTATCTCCATTAAGTATAATCGCTTCGTTTCTAAGTAGCATTTTAATACAAGTTGCAGCTCTCTCCCAGTTTGCTTAACACTGTGATTATTTTTCATTGCCGGACTTGCCAACCGAGCGTTTTTCTGAACGGGTGTTTCAAATTTCTTAATTTGTAATTTTGTTTCTTTTATGGCTTTTATCTACACATCCAAAGCTTAAAAGCGAAATCGCCAAATGTGAAGTCTAAACAGGCTAACAGCAGAATCAAAATTATGCAAGTAGCTTTAACATTTCATATTAACGTTGGATTGATTATATCGCGATACGAGGCAGAAGTCACGATTAACGAAATTTATGCATCGTGGAGGGAGTTTGTGGAAGATTGACCGCATGTTTATTTATTAACGGACGAATAAGTATTTAACCTGTTTAATTCAGTGAGCTCTAAGTGCATTAAAGAAATATGGAAAATGATTATGATAATATTATACGATTTGCCTCGTTGAAAAATGTTTTTAATGGAGTGTCAAACGTGAGAATACCGGCCAGCACTGAAACTTAAAGATTCACTGTCCATTCATTAGGATCTTGCTGGAAGCAATGAATGAGGTATTGTGTTGAAGCAGATGCTTACGGAACTTTAAGACCGTGGACGGAAGTTGTATTCCGTAGACGGAAATTGTATCGTGGACCGTGAACGGAAGCATGCTACTCCTCCCCACTTAGTGAAAGTCAAAAGCTCGTAGCGGGTTCATTCCAACACACGCCGTGACCACGAGGAAGAGCATCAGAGGCATGCAGCCACACTGGTAAGCCGCGCATTTGCGTTCTTCTTCAGTTGGTATAAAGTAATCATTGCTCTATGATTGTGCTTTTCTACGGGAGCTCTTCAACATACAGTCCATACTTGTAATACAAAATGAGCTTGAATGAGCTGAAAATGAGATAAGCTAATGGCCTTTTTATAATCAATCATGGCGGCCAAGATAGTCTCACTACAATGTTTTTTTTTTGGAGCTCCAATATTTCGGTCCAGGCTTGAGGCTCGCTCGAAAAAAAACAGCAGTACCACTCCGGTCAGTACAAAATGCAGACTGCTGATCGGGTACAAAATGCAGACTGTAGGCTGGGTACAAATTGCTGACTGAGAATTTATACTAATTTTCGCCTGATACGTGTTAACATGTCATCTTACAACTTACCGAGGGTCACGCAATTGCTTTTCCGCCATCATCTCTCACGATTATTTGCACTATTGTGGAATATTCCTTGCCCGTTTCTTAATCAAAATCATTCTTAATATCATTTCAAGCTTTCACTTAGTCTTCTCACTTTGCGCACGAGTTGGTTGGTGTGATGTCTGTACAGATTTTACCGACTTAATGAAGGTAGATATAGATGTAAATGAGATGTCACTATTGAATATTTAACACGCGCACTATTCGAGAAACAATTGACAGCTTTGCATGTGGTCCGTACGTTTCATCTTTTTAACCGATATGTGTTCATTTTGTTGACAAAAATGCGGACCGAGACCAAAACTGTTCCTTCGACTTGATATATTTTCAACGTTCAGGGATGTACACACACTGATTTTCACATATGTGCCTTACATTGTTTTTTGGCTTACATGAGGAACCGGCGAGTTTTTATAGGGAAAGGGTCATCCGCACTGGCGACAATTACTTTTTATTTAGACAAATTTTCCATCATCACCAACACTTTACTAGTGCGGATGGTTTGTCGCGGCTTGACAACTTTTTGCCGAAGCGGACAAATTTTCAAACACTCCGCCGACAAAATTTGTCCCGGGTAAAAGCTTAGCAAAATCTACCAAATTAACAAAACCGTGATGAACTTGTCTATCATATGTCGTAAACGCTACCATTAGAGTGGTAATTGAACTGGGTTCAGTTTACCAAAAAATTGCCGTAGTTGTCCTTCGCTGCGAAACTCGCAGATTTTACAACTTTAACTTAAGATGAATCTCGGTACTTGGAGTTTTGATCCATTGGCAAATTATAGCGACCAGTCGTATGAGCAGATCAGGCACTCGAATGTGCCACCCTATGAAGAACAACAAGGAAACAATTTTCATTCAGCCGTTGCAACCTACAAAAGTGGAGTAATTTTCCAGTCGCCGCTTCATCAGACTAATAATGAAGTTGTAGATGTGGCCGCCCAAAATCTAGTTGTTATTCGCTTACATATGGAACCGGCGAATTTTTAGAGGGAAAAAAGGCGAAGCGTTGCTTTCGTGACTGGCCATTTGTTTACTTTTCTAATCGTTTTATCTATCGTCTGTTTGGTGACAACGCAAATATTAATATGCGAAAATCAGACCATATGAAGGCTCGAAATTCTATTTAGAACGATTGTGGCCGCTTTGTTAGAAAGCAAATGGAATGGCCGCTTTGTCTAACACTAAAGATTTCAAGGAATATTTCATAATAGTGCAAATGATCGTGAAAGATGAGGGTAACTAATATTTTGCTGTCTTGAAAGTTCACATAAACCGAATCCAATTGTACCTATATTCAATGAGTCCGAGAAATCAATACAAACTTAAGCCATAACATGAATGAGCTGGCTCCAAGAGCCCTTTGATCCATTCTATTTTTTCCTTTTTCGATATGTGAATGATGGCGACTAAAAATGACATTTCGAAATCCGTGGCTGAACATGAGACTCCCTATAGTCTGTACTAAGATAAGATGTCATAACGTAAGGCCCAGCGTGTCCATTTTTTCCTACCTGTGACAACTGTTTGTGAAAAACATCCTATTTTTTACATGTAACATTAATTATTAGTCACGAGACTAAAAAAATCATCCCAATGCAAGCGATCAAATGTGCCTTAATGGTTACCTGGCGGAAAACAGAACAGGTACATCATATTTCAGCTCAAATTCACACAGCTGGTAGACGCCCCCTGACGTAAGAGATAATGAGATCGATCTTCCTGACTACCAGTGGAGGAAATTTGAATAAACGCGTTTTGCACCAACTCAATATTTTATACAAATATTTTCCATGAGCGCTTAATAAAAGTACAAAATACGAACATTGCCTCAAATTAAAGTTAGCTCTGTATAAAACTCTGATCATTGTAGATTAAGGAAACAATTATGAATAAACGTTGGGTTAAGTTGGTAGGTTAAGTTCACATATAAATCATGCCTGATAAATATATCTTATAAGACGTTTTGGTGTGTGGTATCGCTGAGTATTTTTACGAGTTGTGCCGTAATTTGAATCGCCCTCCGGGCTCGTCAAAATATCGCAGGGTATTTGTACTCTATTCACGCGTTATTTGTACTCTACTTTGTGCTGTGTGATGATAATAAAACGTATTGTATCAAACAATTTTTTTTAACGATAAATTGTTCCGAAAATCGTTTTTGAAAATAGCTTTTCGTCATTGCTGTTTACAATACCACGATCGAAATTGATATTTGATTCATTTCCTTTTCGTTATTAAGACATCATTTTACTTGGCAGAAAATGCAGAAGAAATCATCATTTGAAAGAGAAATTGTTTTAAAAAATGCATAAACTTACCTTATGGTTTCGCCGTGTGTCTTGTTAATATAACACAAAAAGGATGATAGTGGAATTAATCATAAGCTGTCGTACAACACGAGGTCAGAAGTTATGTGCACTTTTCTTAGTCAAAAAATAAACCGTCACTCGAAACGACCTTTTTTATAATAAAATACGACTCAGCAGATGTTGTATGACGAAATTGAAAGTTGGAGCGAAAAGTTACTGATGAGCCAAAAGTTGGAAAAGATCAAAGAGCCAATGCCTGATTCTGGGCAAATGGTAGGCTGCTTTATCATCCAAATTATGATGTCCTGTAGACCCGAGAAAAAGATAAAAACAGGAAGAGGTGCGTAGGCGCTGAATATGAATTTGTAGAATAATCATAATCGTAAGTGTATATACGTACACGTACGTGTATATATATAAAGTGTAAAATTTTGACTTTCGTAAAACAGTGCTCAATACATAGGAGTAGAGCGATGTATATGGTGTGGGAGGAAAAAGTTAAATAAACTACAAATTCATCCCTACAGGCCCGCTTCTATTTCAAATCCCCTGACGAGTGAGCAACCACGAAGCAGGCCTGTAGGGATGAACTTCTAGTTTATTTGCGTGGAATATCTAAAATTTGGACAAATCAGTAAGACATAACTTTTCTGTGACTCTGAGTTTCACGCCTACGCGATCATCAGACAGATTTTAATGAAGAGTATACCTCACTTACTTTAAATATACATACAGTAGTTAGTTAATTAGTAAGTCTACACTCCCTATACATTAGGGAGTATTTGTTCTCATGGCGGCATTTGGAAATTAATTTAGTTCTTTTGTTAAGGTTGCTTGCTTTGTCGGCTTTAAGGCAGGTAGAGGTTACATCTTTTCGAAAAATTGTTGTAGGCGCTTACTGAAGAGATGATGTAGTTTCCATTGTTGTCCTTGAGTTTCCAGATATGTTTTGCTAGTCGGTGCGGTTGGCGTATTTTCTGTTACGGAATGATAGTTTATGTTGCGTATATCGTTGTTTGAATGTTCCTTCAGTTAGTCCGATTTAGTTCTTTCCAGGGCCGTCTTTGTTACGCAGTAAGGCTTTTGTTTCTGTGGCGGCATGAGGACAATAGTTCATTACGTTTATTGAGTGATGATAATTCAGGTCGGCGGATGATAAGTAGTTTTGTTTCTACATTTCTTTGTATATCTTAACTGACTCCTCTTAGGAACTTGTATTCAGAGACTCGGTTATTGGTGGCCGAGTTTGTAAACAAACTTTACTTTACACCTTCTGACCTGTATTTCTGTTGAGTTTCTATTTTATATTATGGGAAAGGCGGCACCACGGCTACGCCCCTCCTTCTCCAATTTTTCTGCTTGCGCTATTGTTACATAGCAACCTTTAAAAGCAATTTTCTCCGCTGTTCTCATTGAAAGTCATATTCTGATGTCGCTTGACTGTTCTCTACAATTCCAGAATTACTTGTATTGTTTTCGTTATTATTTTAACCGAGTCCCTCCACAAGGCACGTGCGTAAACACCATTCACACGTAAGGTCTGACCAAAGTTATATTTCTTCAGTTTTTAGAACTTAATTGAACAATCATGATTCCTTTAATGGCCTGCCTTACGCTTTCGATCAGAGTGAACATTATTATGTTTTGCCAACTGAGAAAAAGAAAACAGGGATATGATCCAGACGAGAAGAATCCAAAAGTGATTGAAGCTACGTCAGTAAAACACCAAGAGAAGGACAGAATAGAGCCACGGGTGGAAAGAACTTGGTTGCTATGTAGGCGATCGACAGACGTCACAGACGTGTGAGATGTTCAAGTTGTTGAAGAAAAGGTGCAGTAAATGGAGCGAAAATGCCTCGATGTGGGCGATGCACCCGTAGCTGGCGATGATATGATCTGATGTTGTCCAGTGTAAAGATGACAACTTAGACGAGGCGAGTTTCCGCCAATCACTACTAGTAGAAAAGGCCAAAATAGAATCGGCTGTTGTGTTCATCTGTTTAGATTAGTGATTGGGTTCGTTGGTATTTCACAACTACGTTATATTCTTGTCTGGCTGTCACCCGTTAACTAACCAGGTTCGAAACCATGAAAATTGTGGGACAATTTTCTTCTTATCTTGGTGGGTGTTTTTTTATGTTTTTTTATTTGCCTTAACATTGCATGCGAAGGCCACCCTTCGCTAGCTCTCTTGTGAACTCTTGATTGTAATATTCTGTAATAGTTTTATCGCCAATTACTAGAGGTAAGGTTCCAATAACAGCTTTTGACACAAAAACTTCTGGGAGTACTTCGGGAACCATCAACCTCTATCATTAAAGCTTGGCCCGAAATGGTGGTGTCTAGCTTCCTAAATATCTTTAGGACCAGATAAAGAGCTTCAGTAGCTTTCAGCGATGGCTTTATTTAAAGAAGAGATTGTTTTACAATGATAAAAGATCAAAACGTATATTATTAAACCACCCGAGAGAAAGGTTGATGGTTTCAGTTTCACTTACTTAAACTTATGTCAATCGTGGCGTATTTGATCGCACTGAGGCAAAAAATCAACAACAAATTTGAAAAAAAAAATTAAGAAGCAACAAAATGGCAATAGAAATAACATACGCAATCTGTTTTTCGTGAAAGGAAAGAAAACACCACAAGCTCTAAACATTTATCGTATACTTTGGTTGTTGCAGTAGTGGTCCGCCCTCCAGTCATGATTAATGATTGTCGAGGTGCAGTTAATTATGTTGCATCGCAGTAAGCCTGAGTAAGCCTTTCCCACAAGATATGTCACTACTTTGACCGATTAAACTTTGCGCTGGTCGTCATTATAAGTGCTTCGGTGCGAGTGCTTTTTCGTAAAAAGGAAAGTACGCGAACAACTTCGAAAGTCATTATCTTTCAAAAGGTCCATCTTTTATTTAACAAATAAAGGAGGCTGGACTGTGTTCTATTCTGTTGTAAAGCACGCTGGAAGCGGCTAGAGCACGGAAGAAGAGTAGTCTGCTAGCGAGCGAAGAAAGCACTCGCGCGGTAACACTAATAAGGAGGACCTGTTAAATCTAGCTAAATCAGATACGTGCTTAGATTTTTGCAGAGTTAACGCATCCACGTTAATCTTGTCTATTTACGCGATAGCGATGATTTTTCTTAGCTACTTCAGCATCGTAAGTAATACAGGATGCACCGTTTTATTCTCTGCTAAGATTTGCAGTATCTATTGTGAGGAGTACTTTCCTCTACAAAGGAAAATAAAATTGATTCTAAATTTTTGGGTTTATACGCTCATTTGAGATCTCGTGGTTGTTTTCTTACTATCATTCAAATAAAATGAGGTGTTTGCTACAGCGTCAGGGTGTCATCAAGCTTCTCCATTGTTGACCTCTGTGATATTTGTATATGTCCTCTGAATAAATAAGTCACCAAAAATACGAATGAGGATAGAAATAACGGTTGTACAGTATAGGGATTAAATCTAAGCATAAAATGAACTTAGGAACAAGCAAAAGAAAGAACGAATGGAAGCTAAGGTCATATAGATAGACGGAAAAGCAATTTGATGGATGACTATGTGTACGAATGGATTAGTGGATAGCTGCAGTTGGAGACAAAAAGTTTATCAGAACGACTGACAATGACAGAGGTATCCATGGAAGGGTGAAGGGAAACAAAGATGAATAAATGGAAGGAGGAAGAAGAGGGCAGATATAATTTTAAGAAGAGCGAAAGGATGGGAAGAGATAGAAACCTTCTACATACGACCATTTATTACCTTCACTTCTCGCAAAAAATTCTTCAGCTGTTGAGCGATCCGCGAAAAGGCTGGTCTCATCAAAGGATTTTCTTTCCAACAAGAACTCATGAGTTCATATCTAAAAAATTCAATACAGTATTAGCCAAAATTGTCTTGCAGCTGATACTCACAGCATCTGAATGGACCATACCAGGCGTCAAAGAGGTGATTTTGAACTCATGACAATAATCATCGAAAAGATCACTAATTGGCCGAATGTGACATTTATTTCGATGTACAAATTGTTTTTAAATCATCACGACTGATTCAATGCATCGTTTTGATTTTCAACGAGAAAAAGTGGGTGTCAACGGATTTTGCGAGACTTTGCTGGAAGAGTAAAACGCTTTTCAAGTATTTTTAAGGCCTTTTTCAAATTAAATGACTCAATTTAATTTAACTAGCATTATTTAAGACTTCAAAGCTTACAGTTCTTCTGAACATCGATCGGGACGAGGCATTCGGTATCCCGAAGCAAGTCGAGTTACTAAGGCAATTGGTGATGTGATGTCAGGGTATGGCAACTCACCTGTTTGGCGGAAAGAAGATATGATTTACCGATTTCATTTTTTAAAGAATATCATTTAAGACAATAAGTATTTCAGCGATAACTTTGTAAATAAATAGAAACTTGCTAAGACTTAATGTGGCTCATTTAGATCAATAAAATTAAGTGCAGCACTGTGACAAATAAGATATAGCAAGTATAATATGTTTGACATAAGCACAACCTATACCTGGAAGCGTCCTTCTCATCTTGTTCAGTTTCGTTTGACTGGCAATAATCATTTTCAAAATGAAGATATTTGTGTATGATATAGTTAGCTTTACAGAAGAGCCTTGCTAACTTTGGGTTGCTTTATGGATTGGAGCCTTATGACGAGAACATGATTTGTAGTTCTTAGGATGTCCTTTTAAGTCGCACATAGTAACACATCACACTTACCATAAGTGGCGATTTCCCATAGAACTATACCAAATGACCACCTGCGCATGCAAATATGCGTCATAGCCTTAGCCCTTCAACTCCCATTGGTGACCAAGACAGAATTTCTCCTTACAATTTCGATACAATATCAAGCAGGTAAGTGATGAGATGAAATATCAAGAAGGAGATTATTTGTTAAATGTAACGAAGTCTTTAGAAATTAATAGAACAATGATTTCCCACAACGCTATTGCATGAGCTGAGTTAGAAACTTCTCCATATTCCGGAACATTCTATCGAGTTATTTTAAGGATATGTCATCATTAGCGTCTAGTATGTTCTTGCTACTAAAAATAGTATTTCAGAAATAAGTATTATGTAATCGGCTACTATAAATAAGGTTCGAGATGGTAAGGTTTTCAGAAGTTAAAGATAAATAATAAAGTGTTTAAAAGGAAAACAAGAATCTTCTTCTGGCTTCATGACAGATTTGGTGGCAACGGTGGGATAACCTTGCCGAGGTTTTAGGTCAATAAGCAAGGACTCACATAAGAATAGAAGCAGTGGATTTCGAAGCTATGGAATACGAAACCAGACGGAGGAGTTGAATACACTTACCTCTTACCTTTGATAGGTTGAAGGAAATGTGCGTGGAGAGAAACATTGACTTCGGTAGTAAAAACAAAGCAGGGTTGATTGATCTTTTGAGTGAGTTTATGGAGCTGAAAACTGGTGATACAGTGGTGATTTCTTAACCGGAAAATACATCTCAGCCGGAAGTAAACGTTCAAATTATGAAGATGCTTATTCAGAGGCAAGAAATGCAGATGCCATGGCTAGAAAGAGAAAAGGAGGATCGAATAGCGAAAGAAAAAGAATTAAGAAGGCAAGAAAAACGAGAAATGGAAAAAATGGAAAGAAAGAAAGAGCAGAGGTTCCTGCTAGAACTGATGAAAGAGTTAGCAGATTCCAAAAAGGAAAAGGACACTGTGAAGCTACCAAAACCAGTATTTCAAAAGTTCACAGAAGGGGAAGACATCGAAAGCTTTTACATTTGTTTGAGAGAGTGGCCACCCTCCACAAATGGCCGAAAACTATTTGGGCAACACAGTTAACTGGTGTATTATCTGAAAAGCCCTGAAAGCTTTTTCATCCCTTCCCACTGAAAAGTCTACGAAATATGACGAAGTAAAACATGCCATCTTGCAACGATACAACGTGAACTCTGAAACGTATCGTCTGAGATTTCGAAATGATTCTTACAAGCCAGGCGAGTCACATCATGAATACTTCAATCGTTGGGAAGAACACTTCCAGCGCTGGACAAAGTCGCAAGAGATGGAACTCAGAGACTTGATAATTTTGGAACAATTTCTTCAAGGAGTGTCGACTGATCTATCAGTTTGGCTTAAAAAAAGAAAGCCTAAGTCAGCTAAAGAAGCCGCACAAATGGCTGATGACTACGTTCTAGCCCGTGGAACTAAGCCTTCTTATGAGAAGTTAAGCACACCCCAACGACTACAAGGTGAACCTGCCGTAAAAGTGATACAGGAAAAATAGCAATCATCAAGGCCTTTTTTCAGAGCTCCTCCTTCAGAAGTACGCAACATACCGCCTCGAAGCAAAAGAAATACTTAAGGTGAGAAACAGTGTTACAATTGTGAATGAAAGTGTTCCTCGCAGAAATGTGCACTACTCAGGCAGTAGTGAAAATAAGGCCTGAAAAAAATCAGGCCCGTACGGGATTTGGTTCAAATCTCGTACAGGCCTGAATTTTTTTGAGGCCTTATTTTCACTACTGCCTAAGTAGTGCACATTACTGCGAGGATCACTTTCATTCACGTCTTTATCCGCAGTTCAAATATATAACTTTCATATATTCTTAACAGTGTTACAATTGCAAGAAAGGGGACACATTGCAATAGTTTGCCCTCAAAGAACAACCACGCCAAATTTTAAAGCAGATGCCAAGCCTGCTTTTGTCAGTGAATCATGTCGTGAGCGAGTATGCAACCCAAGTAACAGCAAGTGCATGCTTGAAGGCAAAATCGAGGGAAAAAGTGTAAAGATGCTTGTTGATACTGGTAGCTACACAACTATCGTGAAAGCTGATCTTGTGGAGAACGAAAAATGGAATGAAGGAGAGACTATCAACGTTGTTTGTGTTCATGGAGATTCAGTGGATTATCCAACAGCAGAAGTGGATTTGGAGATGGGTGGTCGGATAAAGAAGGCTAAGGTAGCTCTTGTGCCAGGAGTACCAGTTGATGTTTTAATAGGGATAAAGGACTTTGACTCGTGATAAGAAATCGCAAGCCAATCAAAGTGTACACACAATCTTGCCGTTATGACAAGATCACAGACAAGAAAAGAGGCTGAAGAGCAGAGCAAAGCGGAAGCTGCTGAGAAAATAAGACTTGCTGACAAAAAGGAAGCTGAGAGTGATTTTACAGAACAAATCAGGGAACCGGGAAACATACAAGATGAGATTAGGAAACCTGAGGAAGAGGAACCCAAAACCAAAACCGCCGCATCAGATAGTATTAATCCTGAGGATGCAGGTCCTGAGATAATTCAGAAGTGGCAGTCAGAAATCTCAACTTTAGAGAAAGCGAGAGCCTTAGCAAGAAAACCTAAGCAGCAGGAGGAAACAAGATCAGAAACAACTTTCTTTTACAGGCAAGGCTTGTTATATCGGCAGTGGGTACCAAAAGGGAGCGACAGTGAAGATATTCGATCTGTGGAACAGTTGGTACTTCCCCTGCAGTGCCGCGGCACAGTTCTCATGCTTGCACACGATATACCCTCAGCTGGTCATCTTGGAATCAACAAAACCAAGGACAGAGTATTACAGCGCTATTACTGGCCTGGTGTGTTCCGGGATGTTGCCAATCATTGCCGTACGTGTGAGGTTTGCCAGAGGGCGCAAGGAAAGAGATATGGAGCACGAGCTGAGATGATCCCTCTGCCATTGATTAAGAAACCTTTCCAGAGAATAGCTATGGATATTATTAGACCACTCCCGAGGAGCAACAATGGCAACAAATATATTCTTACAATTTGCGATTATGCGACGCTTTATCTAAAGGCTATACCCATACCTAACACGGAAGCTACTACAATCGCCAAAGAGCTAGTGTCAGTGTTTGCAAGGTTTGGGATTCCTGACGAGATCCTCACAGACCAAGGGTCAAACTTTATGGCGAGTCTGTTGCAAGAAATGTACCTCATGTTGAACATTAGTCGTTTGAGGACCTCCCCGTATCACCCACAGACCGATGGCCTAACGGAGCGATTTAACGGAACACTTAAGTCGATGATCAGAAAATTCACAGCAAATAATCAGAAGGACTGGGATGAGCACCTTCCTCACCTACTCTTTGCATACAGAGAAGTCCCTCAAGAGTCGACCGGGTTTTCTCCTTTTGAGCTCCTCTATGGTAGGAGAGTACGTGAACCCCTTGATATCCTAAAAGAGGCCTGGGTTGGTTACGAAGGTGAGAAAGAGAACGTTAACATCCATGTTTTGGAGATGAGAAGATGTCTAGAGGAAATGTCAGAACTAGTCAATGAAAATGTGACCAAAGCGCTGAAGAGGCAGAAAAATTATTATGACAAGAAGTTCAAACCACAAGACCTCAAAGTGGGAAATGAAGTGCCAATACTTGAACCAGCAAGGAGAAGTAAGTTGCAACTTGAATGGAATGGCCCGTATAAAGTGATGAGAAGAGTATCTGAAGTTGATTACGAGGTACAGACTCCAGGAAGGCGTAGAGAGAAGAAAGTGTACCATGTTAACTTGTTGAAGAAATGGCAGAAGCCTGAGACGGTAGAGGGGTTTACTGCCTTAGATGACAGTCAAGAAAGACCTTGCCTCTGGTATTAATTTCAGGTAAAATGTGCATATGATGCTCGATTGGAAGGAAGGAATTCATTAAGTCACACTAAGTTCCCATGGTGTGTCCATAAATGCAAATAGGTATAGATACACCATGCATGTACATGTACATGAAGACGAACAAACAACGTAAAAGGAAGCCCAGATGCAACTATAATAATGCTCCAAGGGATATACCAGAGCGCGAGGCAGATGTTTTTTTTTTTTTTGGAAATCCTTTCAACTAGGCAATACGCCCGACTTTATAGTCAAGAGACAGAAATTTGACAGTATTAAATATACAAAGTGAAACTTACACGTCACTCATGGGTGTAAAATGCAGATCTCGTAGAGATTCTAACGACGACCATCTCCACGGAACCTTGCCCTGTTGAAAAGATAGATTAATGTGAGAAAGCATCTGTTTGTAGTGCAGGCAATGCCCTTTGAAACTGGAAAGCGGTTGACTTATGAAACGGAAGGGTGCATTTATTGATAGTAAGCGCGTTCTTTTCCTACGTCAAGATATATGATAATTTGTAACTATTTTTAATTTTTAGTAAAATCCAGAGTAATAGTTACCGTGGCCGTTGCTATTGTTGTTGTTAATATTATCATAAGTTCAGAAACTAACAGGAGTCCGATTTGTTTTGTCACGAAACTCCTCTGTTTGGTTGGGTAAGTGGTTGTCGCTATAGATAAAATAATCTATTCTGCGTTTGGTAGATTTAGCTGAGTGAGTATGGTAGAATTGGCTGCTGTAACTGTCCGATTACAGGTGTCCGATTACATCCAACTGTCCGATTACAATCAACGGAAAAATTTGTGAAACATAAAGCGCCTAATCTATCAATCACATTCGAAGAAATTGTAATTGTTGTGTCAAGTTAAGTAAACGTGTCACATAATACACAGCTCGTTGAGAGTTTCATTGTAAATTATATCATTAGAAGAAATTAATTTCTTCTGCTCGATTGTACCAAGGAAGAGCATCAATTTAAATGCATTTTGGCTTGTTTGATTTTTCTGTTTAGTCGTTAATATTGATTGCACAGCGTACTTACGCTGGAGGTTATGGTGTATATACCAGCAGCGGATATGTCCCTGGCTAATCCAAAGTCTCCAACTTTAGCCACTAAGTTGGCATCAACTAAAATATTCCTTGCTGCTAGGTCGCGATGGACAAACTGTGAGAGAAGACAATGTATAATTTTTTTGCTTAGAGATGCTCAATGATTGAGTGGCCATACGAAAGTGCGAAAGATCCTCAATGGCTCCTGAAGCCAATTTACAAACTGGGATTGCCCGCGTTATGAATACTTTGCTTAACAGAGCCTCACGAATGATTGGGTGGCCTATAGCAAAATGTAAAAGGTCCTGAATGCGTCCTTAAGCCACTTTAGTGCAGCAAGAGATTATAAACTTTTTGTAATTTCTTGAGAGAATTTATCTCTAATGGAAAGTTGGCAAATTTTAATTTTACATTTATTTCTACACACTGCCAGCGAGTCTTACCTTTCTCTCCTCTAAGTGCTGCATTCCCATGGCGATCTGAAATGCAACTGTGACCAGTTGCCGGTCATTCAGCTTACAGCAGACGTTATGATAATTGTTCCTTTCCCCTGGCGCCCTCAAAAGATTTTCCAGACTGCCACCATGAATTAATTCAGTGACCACAAGAACGTTTCCTTGAGAGAATAGAGCAAACACAAAAGAGTTGACGAGAGAACGAAATTGGACATAACTGGCACCTTGGGTTGATCAAAAGATGATTCGTTGGTAATTTAAGTTTAGCTGGTGCCCAAAAAAACAGGAAAAAAAATCCGCATTAACTTCCCTGAATTTAGCCCACAAAAATATGTTCTTATCTTTCTTTAATCATAAGGTCAGTACATGCACTGTTCTAACTGAACTTACACACGGCTGAAACATTACCTTGTTTATATCAATCACCAAGTAAACATGCATATTTCTAATACGTTGTATCTTCGAAAACTGACTTACCTCCTTCTATCCGCGTGCCAATCAAAGTGACAATATTAGGATGTTTCCCAGCTTGCTTTAAGGTCCTTATCTCATTAAGCAGGGTTTCTTTGGCAATGGCACTAGGGTCTACAATGACATAGAGAAAGAAAAACAAGGGAATTTCTTATATTTCTTCATTTTACGTAGTTCGCTCATTCCATCTGGCTATAATAACAAAATTATGTATGGAGAAAAACTGGCTTGGTTAAGGCTAAAGAAAGCATTCAGAGGAGACAATAGCAGACTTTATGGGTTTTTTCCAAGAAAAGTAAAATGATAAAAAATTAAGATGGTGCATAGCTTCAAGAAAGAAAAATCCGTTTAGAGGTCACCACTGTACTTAAGATATAACAGGTAGACATCTCGATTCGTGTACCTACCTTTTAGCTTCTTCACAGCTACGTCTGTTATGTTTCCGTCTTTCCCACTATAGCAACCTTTATAGACGATTCCAAATTCGCCTTCTCCGAGTATTTCATCGAACACTTCAAGATTTTCCAAGTTCACGGAACCTTCCTCGGTCTCTTGAGATATCTCTCCACAATCCCGCTGTTCGTCGACACCCAGGTGTTTATCAGTTGTGGAAATGTCACCACCAGCAATCCCCTCACTCGACTCTAATCTCTCTTGACTTCTTTCTTTCATTCCTTGCACCAAATCATCCCACTCGCTTCCGTCTGGAGGCAGTCTGTCTCCAACTCCATCCCCCATTAACGGGAGCCTTTCCGCGGGGATTTCGATGGTTTGGCTATTGGGCGACCGATTGTTTTCAAGGTTCTGTACCCCATTTTTCAACTTTTGGCCTTCTTTCAGATACAACTTTGTTGCACGTTTTCGTCCCTGTTATATAATTGAAGAGAATAGGCATTTGTGATATCTATCCAATAAGCGTGTTTAGCTTTTATCATCATTTATTTGAGATCCTTTCATAATCCTGCATTTAAACTCGACGAACTGAAATCTCTCGCGCTTTGATTTACTAGTCAAATGTGATTTAAATAGCGTTTGTTTGATAAGGAAGGAAACCAGTTTAGCTGAAATAGACGCACCATCTTTCACAACCATAATCCTCAAATGCGATAATTTTAAGGTATGAAAGGTATGAGAACATTTTTTCAGATTTAACTGCTTCATAAACCCCGTGAATATGGGTCGTGCAGGCCCTTGCTTGTTTATGCATGAAATATTTACAGACCCAAAGTGGAGGAAAGGATAATTTGGAGTACACGAAGTAGGGACAGAAAAATAAGACCAAACTGACGAAAATCATCATGAAAGGGAAAAGAGTTTGTAATAATAATAATAATAATAATAATAATAATAATAAGTTAAATTTGGGAAGTTTCTTTCGACTCTGCATCTTACCCCCTGAGGAAACTGCATGTTTCTTGGCTGGTCAATCCCGGCATTCCTCCGGACATCAGCACAAGCAAAGTCGTATGACGGACAGAGGAGATCATTACCTTGTGTGGGGATATCACGTAACAACATATTATTTACCTCCTTATCACGATTTTTACGCCGATTCCACACAATCCCAGTGACTACACAAATAACTGCAGCTACCAAAGTGCATGATACAGCGACTATAGTTGTCTGAGATGCTGAATTTTCTGGCTTTCTGTTCACGGGGGTGGGAGTAGGAGTTACTATGGATAAATGATAAAAAAAATGTAGTAACAAACAGTACAGCGCTTGTAATTATGAAGGACCCCTCTTACCCTGTTTTTTTTTCCTTTCCATTTATGAAAAATATCTCACCTTTTTTTAAGACAGCCACTCCTGATTGACTTCTTCCAATGCTGCTATTAGCAATGCATTGATATTTTCCATAGTCTTCCATCTCTACTCTCGTTATTAAAAGCTGGCTGCGATTCGCTCGACCGTCCGGAATGACACGTGCTCTGGGGTTAGACTGTAAAGGATATGAAGCATTGTCCTTTATCCAGTGGATTGTTGGCCTTGGGAGACCCCTAGCGGTGCAGCTTAAGGAAGCATTGGAACCGATCAGGACACTTTGGTTCTTTGGACCTTCAACGATCTCAGGTTTCTGGGCATCTAGCAAATTGAAACAAAAAGAATTAATATAAATGAATGGGACGTTATGAGTTGTCTCATTTGTGATCTTTCTTTGGATGTTGGGGCCCAAGGCTTCTTTGCCGCTCGAAAGACCCGGTTTGAAGAGAATTAAACTCTAAGGGGGTCTTGAAGATAAGAAGACTGAGGAGGTACGGGGACCAGGTGAAACTGAAAATGACAACTTCAAAATTTTGTATAAAACATTTATAGAAAACATTGCTTCTTTTCTAGCTCTTGATACTCTGATACAGGTGCTGAGAAAGAACTGTTTCAGGCCAACCCTCCTTGGCCGGAGTGTAAGCCTCCTCTTGTTTTTCAATTCTAATAATTATCATTCGTTTATTTTGTTTCACAAAATTTTTTGCTGTTTGTTTATTTTGTTTCTCATCTTCCGAAGAATATGTTTTTTTTTTGCTTCAGCATCGCCGGCACCGTATTCAGCGATCACCCCTGTATTAAGCAGTCGGTTGCATTACTGTTTGTCAGTTGTCAAAGTCCTAAATTTGTCTCCCCCTAATCACTGTAATTTTTATCTGTAGTAAGCGGTTACCTCTACTTAGCGGTCTCAGTCGACCTTTACTAAGTCCCAACGTCCTCTTTGAATTGCCTTCCGCCTGTTTTTTCTGTTTGTTTGTTTTTTTTTTAATAATACCCCTTGTATTAAGCGGTCACACCACCATTCCAATTGAGGGGCCGCTTAATACAGGTTCGATTGTACCAAGTAAGATATGTATCAGGACAGGTCAATCGAATTGCTCCTGATTCAAATTTAATCGTTATCTCCGAGAATAATCTCGTTCTTTGAACACTGCATTTCGAGTCTTGTTAGCCAATGGCCACATGGCGGAATTTTCCGTTTGCATGTATCGATCATGAGTTGCCTGTCCATACATTTCAGGAGTTTCTTAGAAGCTCATTATTTGAGGCTCTTTATTCCTAAATTAAACATCTTCGGCATCCATCTCCGCATTAAATAACATATGATGTATATTTTCATTTATCAAAAACTGGGTAATTGGATAATGCAATTCAAGAGTTTTCATTGGCTTACCCATTATGGGTTACGGGTCATTATACCATATGCGTGCATAAAGACAGTTACACCGGAAGCGTTTTCGTACATCGTAACATTCAGTTTGTTCTAGCAAAATATAGTTGGGAAGATTGATTTATATATGTTCCGGGCCGTTTTTGGATTTAATAATTGTTCCACTCGCACTTTTTGGATATGCGATGATAGACGGCCAACTAGGCCCTATGGGCCGCGTTGGCCGTCTATCATCGCATATCCAACACGCACTAGTCGAATAATTTTTAATTAAAGATATGACTAGCCTGGTTTGCTTACCTTGAATAACTATTTCAAATGATTTCCTTGTGCAGTAGTTTCTGTAACCATTGCCAGCTTGGCAGGTGTAGCGGCCAAATTTATCAACTGTCAGATTTTTGAGCACTAATGGACAGCTTAATTTAAGTTTGTGTGCACGTCTGTTTGAAGGCTGCAGGCACTTAGCTCCAGTTTCCTTATTCTGTGGATCGTACCACTCGATATAACTGACCCACCTATCGCGATATCCTCTATCTATTGTTCTGGGCTCTGCTGTACAAGTCAGGGTAATAGAGACACCAATGGGTAATCGGTTGTTTTCTGGATTTGAAGATGTGTCCACAACGGGTCTGACTGAGTTGGAGAGATCGAATGATAATAAAACAAAATCAATAATATACAATCTCTTTACAGCCTATCCAACGATGAGAAAGATCATTAATAAATCCATCTTATAAACTTAGTAAGTGTAGTTCACAAACTCTTGACTGATCAAGAGTTTTAATGCAGCTTTTTAATGTTAATTTTGAACTGTTATGCTCCACCTGAAAAAGGCCGAAGGTGAAACGTCGTGCATTTAAACGCTGGACCAGTCAAGAGTTTATCTACGTCCTTTCTTATCCACACATGCTAAACATTTTGATGAAGATACCTACATTCTCTGGATCCTCTGACTGAGAGCTATTTGTTTGTTAGCCATTTTACAGTTTCTCCACGTTTAATAAACATACAAGAAAACATTCGCATAAACATGCTCTTTAAGCAGGACATTCAGAAGAAGTTAACACTACTTACTATTGAGATGTGTATTGCATGTTTCACCTTTGACGAATGGAAGATTCCATAAAGCGCCAGTAAGAGTTAATAGTACTAAACACATTGACGCTTCTCGAAGCCAAAAATTACCCATCATCATGACACGTCGACAAATTTGTTGTTTGGATGTTTGAAGCGGCCTGCATATGGAATTATTTATTCAAAATCAAATAAGTTATTTTCGAGAAGAACGTAGAATACTGAGTCGAACGTTATCATTAACTTGTTGTATCTAAGTTTACGCACTCAGGCAGGTACAAAAAAAGTAAAATGGAAAAGTGAGTAACAAATTTGGCGATTTTTCGCAAGACTTCCGCAAAAAGGTATAGGATTTCACTGTTTTCTTTCACTTATCTCCATACTCTCGATTCAACCCGAAAACATGATTTATTTAAAAATACATATTTCCGAGTACATGTGGTTTTAATTTGTGTCTTAACTACTCACTAAATAAATGGCATCTTTTGTTTTGCAACTTTTTCGAAATCGCCAATAGTGACAAACAAATTCTAAAGGGAACAGCAACGATGTTGCTCGTAAATTTACGTAAATTTTGAGAACTTACTTTTGCGTTCGCAAGGAAATGCAATGTACTTCAAAAAAGGAATGAATTTCCCGTGCTATTTAACAAATAGAGAAGCCTTCACTGTGCTCTGTTCTGTTGTAAAGCACGCAGGAAGCGGCTAGAGCACGAAAGAAGTGTAGGGAGAAACACTCGACTACGTCTCGTGTTTCTCCCTACTTCTTGAGCGCTCTAGCCGCTTCCTAAGTGCTTTACAACAGAACAGAGCACAGTCAAGGCTTCTCTATTTGTTTTATAATAAAGAATCCGTTAAATTCCCAAAGAATTACTTTCAATTTTCAAAACAAATCTAATACAGGATCTGAAAGTGAAATGTTCAGTGAAATTCGGCCCAATCGTGGCTCACAAAAATACGCAAGTTATTTCATTTGACAAGTAGAAAACAAACTGTTCAAGGCGAGTGTATTATGAATGAACAACAGCCGAATTCACTAAGAAATGAAGATCGCACGGAATGACAGCGCCGTAAAACTCGGTTGCAGTGACTGATTTGGCCATTCACTCAACGCATCGGAAAGGTAATCAGGGCAAGCTCTTATATTTTCACTCGAAGGGTAGTCGATTTAGTTCCTGAGGCTTGCTCCACTACGATGACCGAAGATCGCTATGATTAGCTAGCCGCGATAGACCTTAAGTCGCTCTGACACCGTCATAATTAGTATGAATTTTAACAGTTATGCCAGGTTATATTTTTCATCATTCCTGTTTTTTTCTGTTTGAAATCGAAACTTTATATATTATATAAGTGTTAGCTGTGTTTGATTTTTATTACCGTACGTAAACTCGCAATCTAACTGAGCGTGAAAACCGTTAAAAAAAACTCGGACTGTCTATCTTGTTTTATCTTTGAGGATTTTTGTCTCTGCTCACGTTACAGTAACGTAAATTACTGCGCCTGGCATTTTTGCAAACCTTTGCTCGCTTGTTCCGAAATTTCACTTTCAATTAATGAAAGTAAAGCTAGAAGAAGTCCCGGAAAAGGTCGGACATCGTACGATTTGGCAGATGTCGTGACAGCTTTAGCTCAGTTCTATGCTCTATACTCTCATAGAGCACGCTCTTTCAACCAATGACAGTAAGTGTTATATCCGAGCTTTATTATAAAGTGACCTCTTGCGATGAGATAGCGAAGCTACTTCCACATTGCTTATCATTAAAAAAGAGATTGCTCGGCTTGACAAGAACTTTGTATGGATATATCGAGTGAGTCGACTCTTCATGTCAGGGTTAAACTCGGGGGTCGTGAACTTGAAGAAGTAAGGCAGCCTACCAAAGGAAACTATGTACTCTTATAATGAACGAAAATAACGAACAATCACACCTGGAGTAATTTGAAAAAAATGAAAATATCTTGCAGTTTAACATTTACAGATATGAAACAACACTTTCTCTTGAATCCTTCGTAACATTTTATAGCGACATCCTTCTTCGTTTTCTTTCGATTCAGATAATACCATTACTATTGTCATCACGATACGAAGTAAAAGTCACGATCAACGAAACTTATGCATCGTGGAAGGAGTTTGTGGAAGATTAACCGCATGTATATTAACGGACGAATAAGTATTGAACTTGTTTAATTCAATGAGCTCTAAGAGCGCACTAAAAAAGAAATATTAAAAATTGTTATAATAATAATATACAATTTGCCTCGTTGATAAATGTAAGAAAAAATGTTTTTAATGGAGAGTCAAACGTGAGAATACCCGCCAGCATTGAAACTTAAGGATTCACTGTCCATTCATTGAAATTAAAAGATCTGAATATTGACCAATATTGCCTTTCAAAACCGAAATAGAAGTCATTGAGAGTCTTTCTCATTATGGGAGTCGTGTCGCCTGAAATGTCGACGGCAGTAGACAGGTTTGTTTTTCGTAGAAGCAAAAAGTTTACCAATCCGGTTTTTATCCATAATATGTGTGCTTTCGTTTGGCGACCGCATTAACGAAATGACAATGAATGAATCATTTTTGTACATTGTACATGTTCCAAATGGTTCATCGATATCAAGAAAAGCCAATTTGTTTCTTATAAATAGGCCAGAAATCAATCGTAGCGGCTAAGGTATTTTCACTAAATTTTTTTCAAGCTCCAATATTTCGGTCCAGACTTGAGGCTTGCTCGAACAAACACAGCAATACCAATCCGTTCAATACAAAATGTAGACTGCAGACAAACACAGCAATACCAATCCGTTCAATACAAAATGCAGACGAGGTACAAAACGCAGACTGAGAATTCATACTGATTTTTGTCTGATACGTGTAACATGTCATCTCACAACTTACCGAGCGTCACGCAATCGCTTTTTCCACGATTATCTTTCACGATTATTTGCACTATTGTGGAATATTCCTCGGCCGTTTCTTGATCACAATCGTTCTTAATATAATTTCAAGCCTCCATATAGTCTTCTCACTTTGTGCGCGAGTTGGTTGGTGTGATGTTTGTACAGATTTTACCGACTTAATAAAAGTAAATGAAGATGTAGATGTAAATGAATGTCACTATTGAATATTTCACATGTGCAATATCCAAGAAACAATTGACAGCTTTGCACGTGGTCCGTAAGTTTCATCTCCTTAACCGATATGTGTTCATTTTATTGACAAAAATGCGGACCGAGATCAAAATTGTTCCTTCCACTTGATAAATTTTCAACGTTCAGGGGTATATACTCATTGATTTTCACGTATGTGCCGTATAATTACTTTTCAATACTTAGCGTATGATTCAAACCACCCTCAATCAGTAAAACGCGGTATTGTTAAGTGCCTTTGCTAGCGCGCCAAACGTCTCGTAACAAACCCTCCGTCATCTCCGAGGAGAAAAAACATCTGTCATCCGATCTGGTTTCTAATGCTTATCCTTTTTCTTTCTTGCAGAAACTTACCAAGATCGGAAAACCAAACAACAATGCCGAACCCGCCAACGAGTTCAAAGCTACTGCGGTTTTACCTTATGTCAAAGGTCTGTCCGAACAGCTTCGCCGTTGCCTACAACAACAAGGCGTACGCGCTGTCTTCAAGTCGGAGACTAAGCTAAGATCTCAGTTAATACGGCCAAAAGACGCTGTCGACCCGGCTAAACAAGATGGCGTAGTTAACAGGATTCCCTGTGAATGCGGAAAGGTGGATCGGAGAGACTGGAAGACCTATGCAAGACAGACCTATGCAAGACAGAATTTAGGAGCACGATCGAGAAATACGACTCAGCCGTACCAAAACTTCCGCCATTTCAGAGCATGCCCACAACACCGGACACAAGCCACTCTGGAACGAAGTTAAGTTTATTGATCGTGACCTTTATTACAACACGCGCAGGGTCAAAGAGACAATTCATATAAGACTTCACCCTGACAACATCAACAGGGATAGTGGAATAGAAATTCCAGAAGCGTGGATGCTCACGATCAAAAAACACAATAACAGGAGAGCCGTGTGGCAGCGGACCGCCGAGGGAGCAAATTACTGAGTGAACAAATCACTGAGTGAACAAATCACTGAGTGAACAAATCACTGAGTGAACAAATCACTGAGTGAACAAATCACTGAGTGAACAAATCACTGAGTGAACAAATCACTGAGTGAACAAATCACTGAGTGAACAAATCACTGAGTGAACAAATCACTGAGTGAACAAATCACTGAGTGAACAAATCACTGAGTGAACAAATCACTGAGTGAACAAATCACTGAGTGAACAAATCACTGAGTGAACAAATCACTGAGTGAACAAATCACTGAGTGAACAAATCACTGAGTGAACAAATCACTGAGTGAACAAATCACTGAGTGAACAAATCACTGAGTGAACAAATCACTGAGTGAACAAATCACTGAGTGAACAAATCACTGAGTGAACAGCAAGGATCGAAATGCACCAATTAGAGCTGTTGGAAAAACAACTAATCACAGCAGAGCATCATGCTTTAGAAGATCGCGCATGACCAGTCGACCATTGCCTGAAGAAGACTAGCAGTATGCAGTCGAAAAGTTGCGATCTATATCACACGTGACTACATCGTGAGACAAACGAAAAACTTAATCAAATACAAATCAATACAAACTTAAGCCATAACATGAATGAGTATGAGTTTTTCTTTTTCGATATGTGAATGATGGCGACTAAAAATGACATTTCGAAATCAGGGGTGAACACGACAGACTTCCCCTATAGTCAGTACTAAAATAAGATATGCCAAAACGTAAGACACAATGTGTCCATTTGTTTCCCACCCGCGACAAACGTATGTGAAAAAGATCCCAGTCTTTACCTGTAACGTTAATTATTAGTCACTAGACTAAAAAATTCATCCCAATGCAAGCGATCAAATGCACCCTAATGATAAGCTGGCGGAGAACAGAAAAGCTACGTCATATTTCAGCTGAATTTCAACAGCTGGTAGACTCCCCCTGACGTAACAAATAATGCGATCGATCTTCCTGTCTACCAATGGAGGAAATTTGAATAAACGCGTCTTGTATCAACTTAATATTTCATACAAATGTTTTCCATGAGCGATTAATAAAGGTACAAAATACGAAGAGTGCCTCAAATTAAAGTTAGCTCTGTATAAAATTCTGATCATTGTAGATTAAGGAAACAATTACTAATAAACATTAGCAAAAATTCAAGACGTCAGAATATTATGTTGAAGACAAAAATGGCCACTAATACTTTCCACAAAAAAGTATACAAGCTACCATCTGATCAGTTGTCTCAAAACAATTGGGCGATTACGCATCACATATAAATCATGCCTGATGAATATATCTTATAAGACGTTTTGGTGTGTGGTATAGTTGAGTATTTTTACGACTTGTGCCGTATTTTGACGAGCCCGCAGGGCGAGTCAAAATATCGCAGGATATTTGTGCTCTATTCACGCGTTATTTGTACTCTACTTTGTGCTGTGTGATAATAATAAAACGTATTGTATCAAAAAATTTTGTTTAACGATAAATTATTCCGAAAACCCTTTTGAAAAATAACTTTTTGGCATATAGGTCTTCGTCTTCGCTGTTTACAATACCACGTTCGAAATAGATATTTTATATAACTCCATTTCTTTATTCAAAAATTATTTTACTTGTCAGAAAAATACAAAAGAAATCATCATTTGAAAAAGAAATTGTTAGAAAATATTCATAAACTTACCTTATGGTTTTGCCGTGAGTCTTGTTAATATACCAGATAAAGGATGTTAGTGTAATTAATCATGAGCTGTCTACAACGGGAGGTCAGATTGAAAGTTATGCGCACTTTACGTTGTCAAAAATAAACTGTCATACGAAACGACATTTTTTTATTTGTAGAATACGACTCAGTAGATGTTGTATGACGAAACTGAAAGTTGGAGCGAAAAGTTCCTGATGAGCCAAAAGTTGGGCAAGTTGTAGAGCGTCATTATCATTCAATATGTAAAACAGTAGCCGGTAGACTCGAGTAAAAAAAAAAAAAAAAAAAAAGGTGCTTGTGTGCGCGCGGGGAAACGCTCTTGGATGATTGTAAACAACTGGGACCAGCTTCATTTCTTCCATTATTTTATTATATATACATACATACATATATATATATATATATATATATATATATATATATATATATATATATTGATTTGATTATTTGATTTGTCCAACTTTCAGATATACCACGCTCTGCGAACGCATCGAGCAGAGCACTATACCGCAAGGATAGACTAAAATCAAGATGTATATTTATACCGTATTTATTCACCTGTAAGGCGCACCATTTTTTACGAGAAAATATGCTTGTTTGATCAAAATCTGCTCAAAACTTGGGAGCGTCTTATAACCGAGTATTTTCGCGCAACAAAATACAACTTTTCCAAATTTCCCTAAAAAACTGAAATAAGTATGTAAATAAATACCGGTAAATGAATAAACAAAAGACAGACAACGTTGATCATTGACTTTATCTGATTTGTTGGTTCTAAAAAGAACAGAGGTGGCTCTGAAAAGAACCATTTGTTTGAAAGCTCGGCTGAGCTCAGCTACTCGTCGTCTTCGGCTTCGCTGTCTGTCTCGAACTCGTTGTCAATCCGCTCTTCTGTGTCTCCTGCTTCTTCTTCCTCGTTATCTTCGTCATTCCGCTCTCACCACGAAGCGATGGAATCCCACTACCTTGTCCTCCATGTCGGCTGGAAGGCCCTGAGCCAAAGTCGTCTTACTTCTCATGGAAATTGCATGGCGACGTTTCCATTTCGTGTACCTGAGCCAGGGGAAGCCTTGAAGTCTGGATCTGAGCTGAGTTCCTTCGCCTTTAGCCGAATCATGATGCTGTTCACTGCGAGACCTGAAAATATAAAAACAATGCGATCAGCGATTAACAGCGAAAGGCCAACATAAACAACTTGTAGGGCTAATGTTAACAGGTTCCAGTCATCAATGTCATTTAAGTGACCAATTTTTGCCTTGGCTTCTTTGGTTGCTGAACCAGTCAACCAACTGCTGATCAACTTCTGGATCTTTTGGCCGGTAGCGACCCATCGAGGCACGTTTGGCAGTCATCTTTAACTCGCCGGAAAACAAGACATGCTGTTGGTTTCTCCATTTACGGACCATCGATTCCGATAAGCCGTATTCGCGAGCAATTTCACAATTGTTGTTCACGGCTTTCTCTTCTGCTACGATCTTCAACTTAAAGTTTAGATTATAGGTATGACGACGAGTGCTTGGCATAATTACGGAAAATTTACGGTACGCTGAACGAATGCTCGAAGATTAAGATGAACTGGTCAGATGAGTATTGATTATAAACGTAAAAACGGATCAATTAGTATCCATAACTTAAAACAGTCTCCTGAGAAGGATGACTTTCGTGAATTAAAAAGAGTGACTTTTCTGCTATTTTCCATGTGTGAATTTTTTGCTACTGTTTGTAATGTGTGACTTTTTCACTTTTGTTTTGAGAATGGGAACACTGTAATTATCAACTTTTGGAGGCAAATTGTTGTAAGTACAGCGAACGCGGTCGACAAAATTTCCTTAATTCCGGGTGCGCCTTATAACAGGGTATTTATGTGAAATTTTCATTTCGCTTACTTATCACAATCGTCTTCCAGAGTTTAGGGTGCGTCTTGTAACCGAGTGCACCTTTTAAGTGAATAAATACGGTTTATAAATATATATATATAAAAAAAAATGCCGCCAGAATTCAAATCTCACCGGTTCCTCCCTCAATCGCCTTCAAGATAGACAAGTCCTCTAACATTTAGAAATTAAGCTTTTGTTTGGTTTGAAGTCAGTACCTCATACATTTCTTAAAATCAAGAGAAAACAGAGAATTACATAGAAAAAAAATACAGAACTTTTTCTCAGTGAAAGGGGATCTTCTTGAATGCCCATTTCAACTAAGAAGGTCATGATACAGTTGTCATCTGATCATCTGAATACACGCAATATGTGTGCAGATAATGGAGCATTACTTCAGTTCAACGATAAAATTGACAAAAGTAAAAGTAGTGTCCTTTTAAAATTTGTCTTCAAGTGTTGGGAATTTAAAGACAGTAGATATATATTTAAGGTAAAATCGCATATTTGAATAAAATCTCGCATTCTGATTATTCAACGAATCGAAGTATTTAGGCTAAGTGATATTGTTTCGCATCTACGTAAACATAACAACTATCGTGAAATTGCAACAAAGTTTTCTACAATGTCAATTGAGTGATTTCAAAACCATTGTCACCTTATGAAGAGCCAAAAACAAACAAAAGCGTTTTTCAAAGTGAGCCAGGTTCTTCCCTGTTTTGAAATGAACTACAAATTATTGGAGAGGCATAAAAAACCTCTTTCCCTCGCGGAAACGAGAAAGCGAGAAAATCCTGTGAACGCGGCCCATAAAATGGTAAACAAAAGTTCAATCAAACAAGACGAAGAAGCGACAGGGTCGATTGTCATATATTCAGAAGAAGAAATAAACACCTTTAATCGCGATGTTAAACTTTCAGAGCTTTCGCTTGGACACTTCATTTCTTTCAGTTTTGCCACCAAATAGGTAAGGGGAGTAAATTATTTTCCTTCTCGAGCAAATGATTTGGAAATTTGAAAAAAGATCTTAAAGATAAACGGCTTGTAAATTCAGTGAAATACCACTATTATCCTTAAAATAGTGTGAAGCTTGTTTAAAAGTTTGAAAACAGATGTAAAAACAAGCACAATGTACAAATAAAGTTGTCGAAGATTCAAATGTGTACGACTGACCTTGCTTCTCATTCGCTGACACAAGGACAGATCTGACAGTTGACTTTTTAATGGCTTTCTGTGGCGCGCGCTCAAGATAAAAACAAACAATATTATTACTGTTCTCTTTTTTTTACTTATTTTTATTCAATTATGCGATTCAACTGAAATCCATTTCCTGGCCCGTTAATTCCGCGTTAAATTGCACTCATCGCTTCGCGATTTGTGCGATATCGGTTTTCGGGTGCACTTTAACGCGGAATTCTCTCTTCAGGTAATGAAATTTCCTATAGAATCGCACAGCTAAAGGTAAACTCGCGGTCTGATTGACTATCGAAGAAAGGGTATTTCGCTCTGACGAAGGGCTAACGCTCGAAACGTCAGCTTTTTTACCCTTTACGGTGGCTAATTTACGTTTTCAACCCAGTTGTTAACACTAAATTACCTGCTATACTCTCCCACCGACGCAGCACCACAGTTTCTTTAGAAACTTACCCCTTTATTTAGCGTGGAATTGTACTTGTGCATGAAGGAATACTGCACGAATCGCGAAGCGATGAGAGCGATATCGGTTTTTGAAGTGAAATTTAACGTTGAAATCACTCATCGGGCGGTGAATTTTTCTATAGAATCGCCTCACTCGGAGGACTTCAAAAAATTCCTTCGCTAATGACATTAATTAAGAGAAAATACTCTTTAACTTTATTGAACACTTATTGTCAGCTGTTTAAAGCTTAGATTAGTTCGTATCTTCTCTTAATGTGAATTAATCGTAGAACGGATCGCAAAATTGTTTTCGTCAAGTTTTTGGAAATATTTTCGTAAAGGGTTCTCTTGTTTTGGTTTAATTCTGCTAGGTTTCTTTTATATGGAATTTATGATTGGAGAAGGCCGCGTTTCTACATTTCTTTATATACCTTGACTGACACCTCTAAGGAACTTGTATTCAGCGATTCGGTTAAAGGTGGCCGAGTTTGTAAACAACTTTTGATTTACACCCTCTGCACTTAATTTCCATTAAGTTGCTGTTTTAATTTATCGGAAAGGCGACACCTTAGGTAAGCTCTTTCTTCTCCAATTTTTCTGGTTGCACTATTGATATGTAACAACCATTACAGGCAATTTTCTCTGTTGTCCTCATAGGATTTTATATTTTGATGTTGTTTGACCGTTCTTTACAATTTTTATTTAACTAATATTGTTTTCGTTATTGTGGAACTAATGACATTTCGGTAAATGGTAAGCAAATCGAAGGAAGTATGCAAGAAAAGTTACACGCAGCCCAACACGATTGGCTGTCGTAGGTTGATGGACATTAACTAAACTTTTCTAATACTTGGGATAATTGTTGCCACCGATAAAATTGATTGTAACGCAGCTAGTCCTCCTAAAAGTTGTTATTAATAAAGTGAAGTTGAAAAAAAAAAGGAGTGTTAGAGGAGTGTTAAGAAGAGTTGATTTTGCTCGATTGCCTTCTCCTGTAATTTCCGAAAAGTGAAAATCCTGTCCGTTGTGATGCTACCAGACCTAAAACCATGCACAATGGCTTTCTGGTAGAACTTCCTCTGTGCTTGTCCTTAGTCTCTTCAGGATAACTCTGGCCAGGATCTTCCCCCCAAATGAGAGGAGTGAGATACGTGGTGGCTGCTGCACTCATTCCAGTATTCTTCCTTCTTGTAAAGGTTACGATAAGGGAGTAAGATGCAGAGTTGCGAAAAACTTCCCAAATTTTAAGGCTTATTATAGTTTTTATTATTATTATTATTATTATTATCATTATTACGAACTATTTTCCTTTCCATTGCGCTCATAGGAGATCATCATCCGCCGTGGAGATGTCACGTAACGTAGTATGTACCTCTTTATCACGATTTTTACGCCGATTCCACACAAACCCAGTGACTACACAAATAATTGCAGCTACCAAAGTGCACGATACAGCGACTATAGTTGTCTTTGATGCTGAATTTTCTGGCTTTCCGTTCATGGAGGTGGGAGTAGGAGTTGCTGTGGATGAATGATAAAAAAATGTAGTAACAAACAGGTTGTTCTTAGCAACAGCGCTTGTAGTCAAGAAGGACCCCTCTTACCCTGTTTTTTTCCCTTCCATTAAAAAAAAAATCTTACCTTTTTTAAGGACAGCCACTCCTGATTGGCTTCTTCCAATGCTATTATTTGCAATGCATTGATATTTTCCATAGTCTTCCATCTCTACTCTCATTATAAAAAGCTGGCTGCGATTCGTTCGCCCGTCTGGAATTACACGTGCTCTGGGGTTAGACTGTAAAGGATATGAAGCATTGTCCTTTACCCAGTGGATTGTTGGCCTTGGGAGACCCCTAGCAGTGCAACTTAAGGTAGCATTGGAACCGATCTGAACACTTTGGTTCTTTGGACCTTCAACGATCTCAGGTTTCTGGGCATCTGTAAATTGACACAGAAAGAATTGATATGAATGAATGAGACGGTATGAATTGTCTCATTTGTGATCTTTCTATGAGATGTCGGGGCCTAAGGCTTTTTTGCCGCTTGAAAGACCCGGTTTGAAGAGAATTAAACTTAAAGGGGAGTCTTGGTGATAAGAAGATAAGAAGGTACAGGGGCCGGGTGAAACTGAAATGACAACTTTAAAATTATCTCTTGACACTCTGGTGACATAGAAAGTTTTTTACAATCTACGGAAATGTACATCAAGAAGCAATCATCCAAAAACCGAGCCTATCTCGCTTATTTGGTGTCGGGGAAATTTCAATTGGGAGACTGAGTTGGCACGCAAGTGGAAGACTTCGTGGGTTTTCAACTTTGAGATAATAAGGAAAACAAACACTAATGCATATTCATGTCTAACCTGAAACTTTCGGGGTTAAGAAAGCTGGTAACGACAAATTTTTACCACCACTGTTTTTGGCCTCACATCGATATTTGCCAAAATCTTCTTTCTTCACTCCTGTAATAAACAGCTGGCTTTGCATGGTTTTGTGGTTTTTTAGCGAATGTGGATTGTCAATGAATGTCATCCTTGGGTTGGATTGTAAGGCAAATGAATCATTGTTTTTGATCCATGAGATGTTTGGTTTAGGAAGACCTGTGGCGGTGCATTTGAAAGTAACATTGGCTCCTATATCAGTGCTTTGGTTCCGAGGAACTCCAACTAACTCTGGCGCAGGACCTGTAGGGAAAAAGTGCATTGCAATAAATATCCCCTCTTATTACTGATATAATCTAGTTGGAAGCTTATTCAATAAACAAATGTTGGCAGAAGAAGAAGATATTTTCATTATCATTGTGCCACAGAAGAAGATGAGTTGTATATGCAGGTACTAAGAAAGAACTATTTCAGGCCAACCCGCCCTTGCCGGAGTGTGAGCCTCCTATTTTCATTCTAATAATTATCATTACTTTTTTTTTGTTTCACAAAATAATTCTTTTCTCATCTTTTGAAGAATATGTAGGTTTTTTTTTTTTTGCTTCAGCATCGCCGGCACCGTATTCAGCGACCACCTCTGTATTAAGCAGTCGGTTGCATTAGTGTTTGTCAGTTGCGAAAGTCCCAATTTGTCTCCTCTTAATCATTGTAATTTTTACCTGTATTAAGCGGTTGCCTCTACGTAGCGGTCGCAGTCCACCTTCCACCTGTTTTGAACGGCCACTTATAGCCGAACTACCCGATTAAAATTAAGGATAACCCTTCAAATAATTTTTTATCCATGCTTCTCTCCCAAAATCGAAGTAAATAGCGTTTTTGAACGAGATTCTGTACATAAAGTGGTCAATTATAACAGCGGCGTTAGTGGCGCTGTGTATGTTTTGATTTTAGGATTTTTTTTGTTTTGTTTTGTTATTTTGTTTGTTAGTTTGTTTGTTTGTTTGTTTGTTTTTTGCTATAATACCCCTATCTGTGGAAACTGTTAAGAGGACAACTTACATTAAGCGGTCACACCACCATTCCTAGTGAGTGGCCGCTTAATACAGGTTCTACTGTATCAAGTAATAAGATATCTATCAGGACAGGTCGATGGAATTGCTCCTGATTCAAATTTAATCGTTATCTGAGTGAACAATTTCGTTCTTTGAACACTGCATTTCGAGTCTTGTTAATGTGCCAATGGCCACACAGCGGAATTTTCTTTTTGCAATGAATTATGTATTGGACTTTCCTGTCCATACATTCCAGGAGTTTCTTAGGAGCTGATTATTTGAGAATCCTTATTCCTGAATGAAACATCTTCGGCATACATCTTCGCATTATCAAAAACTGGATCTTTGGATAATGCACTTCAAAAGTTTTCATGACTTAGCCATTATAGGTTATGGGTCAATATACCGTGTGCGCGCGCGGAGACGAGTTACACCGGAAGCATTTTTGTACGTTGTAATAGTCCGTTTGTTCTTACAAAATAAAGTTGGCAGGATTTATGTACATATGTTCAAGAGAGTTTTTGATTCAACAACTATTCCACTACCATCGCATATCCAACAAGCGCGGAGCGGAATAATTGTTTATTTAGGGTATGATAATCTTGGTTTGCTTACCTTGAATCACTATTTCAAATGATTTCCTTGTACAGTGGTTTCTGTAATTATTGCCAGCTTGGCAGGTGTAGCGGCCAAATTTATCAACTGTCAGATTTTTAAGAACTAATGGGCAGCTTAATTTACGTTTGTGTGCACGTCTGTTTGAAGGCTGCAGGCACTTAACTCCAGTTTCCTTATTCTGAGGATCGTACCACTCGACATAATCAACCCATCTATCGTGATATCCTCTATCTATTGTTCTGGGCTCCGCTGTACAAGTCAGGGTAATAGAGACACCAGTGGGTAATCTGTTGTTTTCTGGACTTGAAGATATATCCACAACGGGTCTGACTGAGTTGGAGAGATTAAATGATAATAAAACAAAATCAATAATATACAATCTCTTTACAGCCTATCCAACGATGAGAAAGATCATTAATAAATCCATCTTATAAACTTAGTAAGTGTAGTTCACAAACTCTTGACTGATCAAGAGTGTTAATGCAGCTTTTTAATATTAATTTTTAACATTTATGTTCCACCTGAAAAGGCCGAAGGTGAAACGTCGTGCATTTAAACGCTGGATCAGTCAAGAGTTTATCTACGTCCTTTCTTATCTACACATGCTAAACATTTTGATGAAGATACCTACATTCTCTGAATCCTCTGACTGAGAGCTGTTTGTTTGTTAGCCATTTTACAGTTTCTCCACATACACGCATTCTTTTAATGTGCATGCAAGAAAAACATTCGCATAAACATGATCTTTAACCAGGACATTTAGAAGAAGTTAACAGTACTTACTATTGAGATGTGTATTGCATGTTTCACCTTTGACGAATGGAAGATTCCATAAAGCGCCGGTAAGAGCTAATAGTACTAAACACATTGACGCTTCTCGAAGCCAAAAATTACTCATCATCATGACACGTTGACAAATTTGTTGTTTATATGTTTGAAGTGGCCTGGAAAAGGATTGTTTACTCAAAATTAAATAAGTTATTTTCAAGAGGAACGTGGTAAACTAAGGCCATAAGCTGAAGTAGGTTATCATTAACGTATTGTACCTAAATTTATAAACTCTGGCAGTTACACAGAGGAAAATGAAAAAGTGAGTTACAAATTTGACGATTTTGCACAAAACTTCCGCTAAAAGGTATAAGACTTCATTGTTTTCTTTCACTTATTCTCATACACTCGTTTCAACCCAAATACATGATTCTTAAAAAAAAATTTTTACAATATACATGTGGTTTTAATTTTGTCTCTTAACTTCTCAGTAACTAAATGAAATCTTTTGTCTTGCTACTTTCTCGAAATCACCAACAGTGACAAACAAAATCTAAAGTGAAAAACAACGAAGTTGTTCGTAAATTTACTAAAAAATTTTGAGACCTTACTTTTGCGTTGGCAAGGAAATGCAACGTACTTTAAAAAAAGAAAGAAGTTTTCGTGTTATAATGACTTCCTGCGATGAGATAGCGAAGTTTACTTCTACAGTACTTATCATAAAAAAGGGATTGTTTGGCTCGAACTTTGTATCGATGTATCGGGCGAGTCGACTCTTCATGTCAGGGTGAAACTACTTTTGGGGTTGTGAACCTCAATAAGTAAGGCAGCCTA